AGAAAGGAGGACACAAAACAAAAGAACAGCCGGGCAAGCCCGCTTTGAAGAATTTCGGCGGCTCTCTTACCAAGGCGGGCCACCAGAAACAGCAAGGAGCACCGCCAAGCAAACCAGGACTGGGAGAGCTGGGAGGTCCGTTTTGAAGGATTTGGGCCGCTGAGCGGCCAAAACGGACAGCCAGAAAGAGCAAGGAGCACAGCTAAGCAGATGAAGAGCAGACGAGCTAGGAAGGTCCGTTTTGATGGACTTGGGCAGCTGAGCGGGCAAAACGGAGCACCAGACGGAGAAAGGAGCACAGAAGCAGAGCCACGGGAAAAAGGAGCAGAACAGCTGGGCAAGACGCTTTGGGAAAACCACAGAAACGCAAAGTCGATGTCACCAGGCCCAACACGCGCCACACAAGGAGACCATCGATGGCACAAAGTGCCACGCCTGCCACGCAAAACCCCACCTCGCGTCACAACCGAGGGACCGCGTCACAGTTGAGGAAACGCGTCCGCGTCACAGATGAGGAAGATTTCCGCGTCACAGACGAGGGGCTTTCCTTTTAGAACATGTTTAGTATTAAACTCATCTTGAACCACCTTCAGCGAGGCAAGCGGAAAAGAAATGCCCAGTCAAATATGGCTGGGAAATCCCAAAAAAATCCTAGGAACCTATGGGAAAATATGGGGAACTCCAGTATAAATGAGGTCAATAGCTAGGAAGATCATAGCATGAAATGGTGCATTTTCCAGGAAACCATGTGAAGAATGACCGGAGGGTAGCGATTCGCAGCTGTCCAAAAAAAAAGGACGGACTGGTCTGGTGTACCACTCATCATTTACTTATTGCTTGTGGAGGGTGCCACCCCCGCTATTCATCAATCAGCCAGTAGAGAAAGGACCCCTTTGAGGAAAAGTGACTGATCTTTAAACGGCAAAACCATATCAAAAACTATTCTCCAACGAGGTTTACTTAAATCATAATGGTGTTGCTGAAACCCCTGAGCCTTCCCGTTTCTCCAGAAAGCTCAACATCTCCAGAACCGGGTCCTGCGATTTTCTTCCATTAAGGTTTTCAACTGCTGACCTCGGAAAAGTGAAGTGAGCTCCTCTGAATCATGGGAACACGCCACGCCCAGTTTTTATATCGCCAGCAAACATAGGGGAGTTCGAGAGTTCACCAACGAAAATGTTGATCGTATTTGTCGAGGACCCCCTTCCAGAGATGGGCAATTTGCCCCTTGGGCAACTGATCTGAGGTAAACTCGGGAGGAAATGAAGGAGTATATTAAAGGTGTAACGTTACCCATCTGAATTGATATTGGATCATTTAAAATAGTTCATATTCAATCACCCTCAGGCAATTCTTGATTATCATAATTCACATTAATTCACCCTAGGCTAAACGTTTACATAGATGTGGAAAAACTACCATTTGTACCCTCTGGTAATTTAACATAGCTATTGAACATGGCCATTTATAGTGAGTTTTCCCATTAAAAATTGTGATTTTCCATAGTTATGTAAACGTTTACCAGAGGGTAATGGGTATGTATATCCCTATTGATGGATTGATGATTGATGACCATCCCCCAACATAAGTGAGGACGCGGGGAATTTGGCAAGTTGTAGCTGCGCAAGAGTAGTTTGCACAACCAAGTTCTAAAATGGGTTAAATCCTATGAAATATAACTATCCCATTATTTAATAGTCATATATACAACCCATTAATTCCATAAATAAGTGGACCATATTATATGTGTTGGTTCTTGCACAATCAAGTAGTTGCGCAGCAAAACTAACCCAAGAATTCTACATTTTGTTTGCACAAAACTCCTTGCACAATGCAGCAGGTTTATGCATGTTTAGTTGGTAGCTGTCCTCACGAATTTACCAAAACCGGGCTTACAGAGGTCCCCAAAACCAACAACTTGTTGCAGAATGTTACAAATGATATGTTCATATGCATATATATACATATATATTACATATAGATAAATATGTATGTATATATATATATACAACATATTATATATATATATACACTGTGTTTTTTTCTTCATAAACTCCAGCTGTCCAACTGTTCTACCCAACAGTTACTGACTTCCTCGAAAAATAGACACCGAACAATCTCCATCTCCAGGGCTCGGAACAATAGCGGTTGTTTTGCTTCATCAGGGCGCCCTTCTCCTGGCAGGCGAAAATTTTCATGGGGATGTCACCATGAGAAATGGAGATTTTTAATAAACAAGAGTCGTCAACGGTGACGTTTAATAGCAACCATTAATAGAGACAATATGGACCATTAAAGAAAACATTTAAAATATTAACCAACAACAATTGGCTTACTCTCACGGTCACTATTGTGAGTTGTTATAACTAATTAGTTGAATATACTTAAACTATTTATTACTATGAATCATAGTTGCCATTAACTATAGTGGTTACTATTACTATATCTATAACTATTACTTGCTATTATATATAATCTTTGATGACTATCATATAGCTACTATTCAAATTACAGGTATAGTTACTATTCAACTATTCCACTTACGATCAGGTTGTGACTACTCTCATATAGTTACTATTCGGTTTACAGTTAAATTTACTATTCAACTATTACAGTTAACAGGTTGGTTACTATCATATAGTAGTACTTAACTAATTATCACTATGAATTGAATTATTGCTATCATTAACTATAGTAACTATAGCTATCATATAGTTACTACGACTGTTATAGTTACCAGATAGTTCTATAAAACTACAGTGACATTACTATGAACTATTGTTACCATAACTATGTGTTACTATAGAATGAATTACTGTTACTATTATAAGGCTATTACTATCATATAATAGTACTAAAACTGTTACACTAATTATCAGGTTGATCACTATCATATAGTTATACATATAGTTACCATAACTATGTCCATTATAGTTACCATTACTATGAATTATAGTTACCATAACTATTTCATACTAGAGAACTTAATTAGAGCTACTATCATATGATTATAACATATTAAATACGTATTACAACTATATCCTTAAGATATTAGATACATATTATAACATATTGAAAACATATTATAACTATATCCTTAAGATTAGATACCTATTATAACATATTGAATACATAGTTTATAAACTATATTTCTAACTTAAGATCCTCATCAACATTCCCAAAACGAACTCTAAAAACCTCCGCGCCTCTTCCGCATCGGCCAGCTGCTTCTGCACCGAAAACAACGAGGCGCCGACGTCCACCTGGTCGCCCTGCGGCCGGTGGAAAAACTCTATGGAAAACTATGGGAAAGCAGGTTGAAAAATATGGAAATATATGAAAAAACATATGGCATCCATGATCTCATAATATCTTTTTCATGGCAATTAAAAAGAATTAAAATGTGTACTAGAATGGATAAAAACATGATATCTCCAAACGGACTGATGAGGTAAAAGTACTCAGTTGATGGGGCCAATAGCCACTTTGATGGGCTGCTGATCTAGGTATGCCCGTTGTGCTCCATGTATGGTATATGGGTCCAATTACTTATCTACATATGGGTCAAATTTGAGGCAAATGTTGCTAGATATCCACATGGACATTGTGGGATTATCACCTAGCAGCGACTGGCGTGCCATCTTTGGATAAGATATGGTTGGATACCCTCTGGTAACTTAACATAGCGAACTGGAAAATCCCTATGTGTCATGGGTAAATCCACTATTTCGACTGGGCCATTTTCAATAGCTATGTAACAAATTATCAGAGGATAAATTCTCACACTTCACCAACCTGAAAAACCCTCCAGCAGTCCAACATGGCCATGAAAAATCCGTCATTGACCCTCTGGTAAACATACAACAAACTATTGAAAATGGCCCAGTCGAAATAGTGGATTTACCCATTAATAGCATGGTGGATCTTTCCAGTTCGCTACGTAAACGTTGACCAGAGGGTATAGATGACGGATTTTCAGATTTTCCCATGGAAACTTTCCATTTCGAATGGAGAAAAATTCCGGCTAGCCATGTTAACGATGACCGCTGGTTGTCCCAGCTCATTTCGGGATGGTTCCTGAAAATCCTATCCATATCGTCGCGACGTCGCGACTTCGCGACATGACTTCGCAACGTGGTTTTTCCAGTTTTTTTACCACCAAAAATTCCCATCAAAAACCACCATAAAATGGTGATCAAATCTCAAGTCTTGTGGGTTAAATCAGTTAAATCCACATGTTCCATGGTTAAATCATAGTAAATCCCAATGTTTGTTGCTTAAATTCCCATTTTCCCTGGGTTATACTCATCCCTCGAAGCGCGAACCGATCTGGGTCCGTTTTGCAGTCAGCCGTCTCATTCGTAGTAGGTGAGGTTGTGGTGATGCTGGTCCATGCTTAGTAGTCAATAAATCCCTTTTCGTGATGTTCTTTTGGTCCATTCTAGTGCCAAAACCATCTTATTTCTTCAGAATATTGGTTAATTTTAGCAATATTAGTTAGAATCCATCTGATGTTTTTGATTCTTGTCGTTGTCAGGGGTAGCTCGAGAAAAATCATAAATGATTTTCTCATTTAAAGGCCCAGGTCGGGGATTTCTCAGCCAGCCATGCTTGATGGGAACCTGGTGTTTATAGGGATTCCCATCATGGATTATGATAATCCCCAAGAAAAAATGTAAGTAAAAAAGAACCATGTAATATCACATATCTATAATTCATCAAGCAACAGGCTAGTGTTTTTTTTTTCGAGTGCACTTTTTTCAATGTTGCCATCCACAGCCATCCTAACCGCCTCAACAGCTACAGATCTGTCACATCTCGGCCTGAGTGGCTAACAACTTCCGCCAGAAGTAATTCTCGTCCAGCATGGCCTGAGGCGACGAAGATCAAGAGGATCAAAAAGGTGGAAACACCAGCAGCAAATCCTGAAAAGGAAACCTCCATATATTCTAACATAGTTTCCATAAATGTTCCATATATGTTCCATATATGTTCCATATAGTTTCCATATATGTTCCATATATGTTCCATATATGTTCCATAGATATAGACTAATAATGGTGAATAATGGTGATTAATGGTTGATAATGGTGATTAATTAATCTGATTGGTGGTTGAGCCACCCCTCTGAAAAAGATGAGTTCGTCAGTTGGGATGATGACATTCTCATATATGAAATTGAAATTAAAAAATGTTCCAAACCACCAACCAGCTTAAGTTCAGAAAAAGAAAGAACTCCAAGCATTAGCACAGCTGCTGTCCAATGTCTAATTGTCTAATCAAATGCAGGTCATTTCATTCTCGCCGAATCCTCATCCGGGAGTCCGCCTCGACGGGGTTGACCTTCACCAAGTACTTTTCCAAGGCAATGGAATCCGCCACCGTTTTGTCATACTCGTCTCGACAGTCCACGATCCTAGCGAAAAAGAACCGAAATCGAAAGGCCGGAGTTTCGAAGACCAGCAGGGAATGGGTGCGTTTGGAACGGTGTTTGATTTGGCATATATATATATATATTATAGGATATCGGATATGTATGATATGTATTTATATCATATTTTTATATACATATCATATACATCAATGTGATGCGATTCCATGAGCAGGACGGAAAAAAATCATATACGCATACGATGGATAATTTGGTGTATATCGATTTACAAATATATATATATATAGAAAAAAGAAAGAAAGAAAAAATGAAAGAAACAAAGAAAGAAAGATAGATAGATAGATAGGATAGATAGGATAGATAGGATAGATAGGATAGATAGGATAGATAGGATAGATAGGATAGATAAGATAGATAGGATAGATAAGATAGCTAGATAGCTAGATAGCTAGATAGCTAGATAGCTAGATAGCTAGATAGCTAGATAGCTAGATAGATAGATAGATAGACAGATAGATAGATTAGATTAGATTAGATTAAATTCGATTAGATTCGATTAGATTCGATTAGATTCGATTCGATTAGATTCGATAGATAGATAGATAGATAGATAGATAGATGGAAAGATGAATAGGTAGATAGGTAGATAGGTAGATAGAAAGATAGAGAGATAGAGAGATAGAGAGATAGAGAGATCGAGAGATCGAGAGATCGAGAGATCGAGAGATAGAGAGATAGAAAGATAGAGAGATAGAGAGATCGAGAGATCGAGAGATCGAGAGATAGAGAGATAGAGAGATAGGGAGATAGAGAGATAGAGAGATAGAGAGATAGATAGATAGATTAGATTAGATTCGATTAGATTCGATTAGATTCGATTAGATTCGATTAGATTCGATTAGATTAGATTCGATTAGATTCGATAGATAGATAGATAGATAGATAGATAGATCGATAGATAGATAGATAGATACATTAGATAGATAGATAGATAGATAGATAGATAGACAGATCGATCGATCGATCGATAGATCGATAGATCGATAGATCGATAGCTCGATAGATCGATAGATCGATAGATTATAGATCGATAGGTCGATAGATGGATAGATGGATAGATGGATAGATGGAGAGGATAGATAGGATAGATAGGATCGATAGGATAGATAGGATAGATAGGATAGATAGGATAGATAGGTTCGATAGGATCGATAGGATGGATAGGATGGATAGGATGGATAGGATGGATAGGATGGATAGGATGGATAGGATGGATAGGATGGATAGGATGGATAGGATGGATAGGATAGACAGGATCGATAGGATAGATAGGATAGATAGGATAGATAGGATAGATAGGATAGATAGGATAGACAGGATCGATAGGATAGATAGGATAGATAGGATAGATAGGATAGAGAGGATAGATAGGATAGATAGGATAGATAGGAAAGATGGAAAGATAGGAAAGATAGGAAGATAGATGGATATATGGATAGATGGATAGATGGATACATAGAAAGAAATTTCTTGCTAACTGGGGCTGCCATTTGATCTGGGGCTGGCCTCTTGCACTGTGCTTAAACCCTTTTTGCTGATGGCTGACGCAGCATTGCCTGGCTTTTGTTCCTCCCGTTTTGGTGTCAATTCTTGACCCTCCCTGTAATTTTGCTGCTCTCTGCGCAGTATTCATTTTGTTCCTCCCTGCCCGGTATTAACATACTTTTTGGCTGAATCACAACTCGGTTTGAAACACATCCAGGGCGATGCCAAACACTGGGCCGCACAACCCAGTGGAACCTTGACATACCCCAGAGCCAACAGACTACCACTGACTACCCAATGGCCAACTGCCAATCTTAGAACTATTAAAAGTAATATATATATATATAGAAAACTATGATGTATACAGAATATAAATTCAATTGGCATTACTTCCCGGCGGCCCCGTGGGCCGCTGGGATGCCAACACCATTATCGTTTTTAATTTATCTTAATTTAACATTTTACTATTCTTAGTGATATACAGAAAACTTTGATGTATACATAATAATAATAATATATTATATTATAATATTAAATTCAATTAGCATTAAATTATTTCCCGGCGGCCCCGTGGGCCGCTGGGATACCAACACCAATATAGTTTTTAATATGTCGTTTAATTTAACGTTGTATTTTTTAAAGAAAATTATGATGTATAAATAATATGAATATTAAATTCAATTAGCAGTACTTCCCGGCGGCCCCGTGGGCCGCTGGGATACCAACGCCAATATATTATATAGTTTTTAATTTAACACTATCTTGGTGCGATGCACCAGCGGCCCTTGGGGCCGCCGCTGCTATCACCATGGGGGTTCCAATCTTTAAAGAGTACTTCAAAATATCCCTGATGGGAAAATACTTTCAAGTTTGAGCGCTTTGAAAACCAAGTGTGTGTGTGGTTCCATCGCTGGGCCGGGTTTCATGTAAATGTTAAAAGCAACCGAAAAAAACCGAGCAAACAAAAACTCCACTACCGGACGATGGATACTACTACCTACTAATTTTGTATGCCTAGCCCTGATGACTGTGACCACAATTGCTGCACTCGGAGGAAGAAAGCGTTTTTTCTACCAAACGCATGCTGCTCTGCACGTCGTCCAAACAACGGTCTCCGTCTTTTGCAGTATCCGTTTTTTTTGTTTTTTTTTGCCACCCTTCTTTTTTTTGTGTCTCCATTCCCGTTCATACTTCCGCTTGGTGGAAAAGGAAGCAAAAATCTCTTCGTCAGACAGGTATGGCCATTTGACTTTTTTTTCCTTCTCTGACTCTTCAGAGTTGGAATCTACGCCTGAATCACCTGCCAAATTCAAAGACCCTGACGCAGCAGCAGCGGCTGCATCATCTGAATCTGCATTGAAATTGAGAACCAGTCGGCTGAAGGCATGCCCCACAGGCGGTGCTCGCCACTTGCCACCTTCGAGAACTTCAAACTCGTTAAGTGAAGGCGCGGCCCCCAAACGCTTGTCGTCCATTAAAATCGCCAACTACATTGAAAGCTAGTAGCTGTGTGTTCTCACATCATAATAACAACTTGTTAGCGACAATGTAAAAAAAGGCCTTCTGATTTGATGTAAAGGTTTTGGCCAAAGTATGAAACTGCAACCAGCGGGCTGCACCGTCCGTCTGAGCAAAAAGGTGGCAAATTGGAAGAATCAGGCCATTTAATTTAGTGAGTCCAGACATGTGCGAAATTCTGATGCGAAATGTGAAATCATTTGGCCTATAGCCATCTTGCCACCGTTTGGTTGCATCAAATCTAAAAAAAATATTCGCACTGAAACTCTTGACGCTTGTTACCATAATATTATATATATATTATATATAATAAGAAGAATATAATCAATAAACCTGCGAACAAAAATGATGTCAAACTTAATACCGTTGCATCATAGTCTTAAACAGCCCTACTTCTCAAAGTGAGGCCAGCTTTGTACACCGAATGTTCGGCTCATTTTTCTTGAAGATCTGTCTAATCAAATCTGTCTCTCCAACTTTCAAAACAGTTCAGTCAACGTCGTTCTTGTCATCGGCTTCGACGATCCCATCCTCAACTTTCTCAGCTTCCTCTTCGCCACCCTCGGCGCCCGCATCCTCGGCGCCCGCTTCGAGATCAGCTTCCTCTTCAGGAGGTTCTTTGTTCTCAGATTTTTCGGCAGGATGCAAGACTTGCTCTACGATCTTGTCCTTCACAGCCTGAAGCATCTCAGCCTCGGACGTTTAAACGTGTCATGGTGTCATGAAATGGGAGCCGAACAATGCTCCACACCAACGCTTGGAAAAAATGTTGAATCTGGGAACAGTTTGCACCTGGGAACAGTCCAAAAAATGCAAGGGACTGCCATAGCCTTCACCTGTTGAACTGGCACCCCCTCACGCAGCTTCGCCGTCAAGTCATCCTTAGCTTGAACTTAAGATTACACTGAAGTCGCCACACAAATTGATGTATATTGACTACAGAGTATTTAAATATACATAGTAGTGACTGTAGTATCTAGATGTAAATATAGACAAGACACGGCCATGCGCTTGGAATCCTCTTGCTTGATCATCTTGCTGCCAACCTGCAGCAGCGTCTGGGGAAATGAGGGCAGAAGTCAAAACACATGACATGCATCAAATCAAAACATGTCAATTTTCACGGCTTTTCACCAAGTCAAAGGTACAATGAATAGCAAACAAAAATCGTTGGGCAAGTCAAGTAACCGACATGATGTGTCCGCGGTTACTCTTCAGTTGCCAGTTGTGGCACCCTTTGTGCCAACATGGGTTGTGGAAGACGATCTCACTCTTCTTTTTGTCTTTCTTCTCCAAGCCCTTATTGGCATTGTCATCACCTGCATCACCATCAAGGGAAACATCCGGGGCGGCAGCACCACCCTCCAACTGCGACTCATCTTTCAGCTTCTGCTTCTTGTCGACAGCAGGCTTGCGTAAAGCTGCAGGCCTCTTCAGGGGTGGCTTTGCCTTGGATTTCTCACTCGGCTCGGATTTCTCCCTCGGCTTGGATTTCCCACTCGGCTTGGATTTCTCACTCGGCTTGGATTTCTCACTCGGCTTGGACTTCTCGTTTTTCACCGGCTTTAACTTGTCTTGCGGCGGCTTTGAGTTTGTGGATTCTGGTGGGGCATCGTCCTGGGCCAAGTGATATCCAATCATGATACCATCAAATCAGTGAGAACAGAAGAGTCAACAACAGCCTCCTCATAGATAAGAATAAGACGGAAAGTTAATAGTAAACCACAACACCTTTCCCCACCCAGCTGTCCTCGGAATCCGTCACAGTGGCCAAGGCTGTAAGCACAGGCATGGTGTCAGTAGACCAGATCACAACTAATCAAACCTTTTTGGGCCAATTCACATCAAAAATGGGTCAAGCCAAACAAAAACTGGGGAATGCGCAAGCGCGAGACACATGCAAAAACAGCAAGATTTTGGATGGATCTTCCGGAAGCTCTGCACTGACGTCGTGCCTGCTGTCTGGCCAGAAGGAGTCAGTTCAAGTGGCCAACGAAGCCCAAACTTCAACACTCAGAAAAACTGTTGAACTAGAATCTAGAATGACATCTGATTGGTAACTCCTGACCAACAGGCAATCCAAAAAGTCAGCTGGTCCAAGTTGACTCCGCAACTCAACCGTTAAGATTGACTGCTGTTTTGGCAGGGATCGAAATGCTGGCCAAAGTGTAAATTTTGGGCTTCACAACCTGGACCTTCGCCGGCGAAGTGCTGAAATCCACCTGCAGACATCTGCAAACATCATCGATGGCATCGCCAACCATGTCATGTACAAAATTTTATCATAGAATGGAGAACCTGTTTTTTGGAAAGGGAACACTTCAAAACATTTCAGAACCATGTCAATGTCGCATGGCAGCCTCCCAAATAACTGAAGCTCGGCGATTGCGAATGACTTTGTGGAAGTTTCCACTGTAGTGAGCGCCAAGAACTCCAGACTTCACGGTGTCAGCCTCGCCAGCGGCTGCTGGCGAATGCGGTTTGAACACCCAAGCCTTCATCGATGCCAATGGGGCCACTCCATATCGAAAGCTGACCGGCACAGGGTCGTTTCCATCCTTGTGCAAGGCAGCATGCATTTTTTTAATGTAAATACATGGAACAAGAAATTAATTCCCAAAATGTCACAGTGTCATCATATAATAACACTCTTCTTAAAGGCCTTCAAACATGACAAACTCAAACAGTTCTGACCGAGACTCTACAGCAGGATGGTACTTGGCACTGACCAAATGGGAATCCACTTCACAGCTGCCGAGCCCATGGTCCACAGCGAGCATCCGCATGAAGGCACAAAAGGGCATCAAAGTCGAAGTTCGCTTGTGGACTACCAAGTCCATGTCCGACTTCAAACGGAACACCAAGGAGGAACATTCCGTCAGGTCGCGGTCTTCTCCTTGAAGCTGAAAACTACTATGCCAAAAAAACTTCAAGTAGCTACAAACGATAGCCCGTTGTACATGCACAAACTCTTGTAAAAGTCGTCAAGTAAGAGTCAAGTAAACCGAGGCACGGATAATCATTTCCTCAAATGCCCCTGTTCCAAACCCGCAGATTTCTCCGGCGGCAATGTCCATCTTGCTGTCGGTTGGATTCATGAGCCACAAGGAATAATCCTTCATCAGAATCACAGATGGCTTCCCGTTCTTCGATTGGGTCATCGCAAGCCTCCAAGAATCAGAGGAAGTTTTGGATGAGCCACTTTCGATATATAGTAGTGATATACTATGATTTACAGTCCGGTTGCAAGCTTTATTACAATAACTAAAAGAAGATCCCCAATATAAGCAAAAAACTTTATAATGATTTGTGTGAAATATCCACAGCATAATAAGTTGATGACTTGTGATGCGTTTCTAATGCTGATCCAGGCCTGTCTGTTGACAAACTTGTCACAGGAACTGCTGCCAAGTCAATCTCTAGGCCAGTGTCGAGCGGACATGCGCCATCGAAAGAGAAATCGCAAGAGCCAGCCACGCGGGAGGTGGTTGCCGTTTGCGGTTGCGATGCTCGGCCAAATTCCATCTCAAACTTGGCCTTCAAGGTTTTCAGGGCTGCCAACTCTGGGCCATCAGCAAAGCGCTGAGAAAGAACCTCTGGCCACACTGGTTTGTTCAAGCTGGTGTTGAAGGCGAGAACCTGTAATGATGGGACCTGAGCTGACCCACTCTGAGAATCTGCTGCTGCAGCAGGTCGTGTTCTCGGTGGCGCTTCTTCAGATGCATCCCATTTCTCGTAGCAAGCACTCTGAAGTTTCGACGTGATGTCAGCGAACTTTTCCTCCACGATCCCGCAGTAATAGATGGTCCCGTTGCCAGTCAAATTCATCTCCATTGCAGCAAGGGCAAACTCGGTATGCCTATCCAGCCCAAAAACAAAACCAACTGACCTTACATCATAAACTCAGTGATCAAAAACGACCAAGAGTTCTGACGTCCTTCAAAGAACTAAGCCTACTAATCTAACATGTCTCTCAATGCCTAGCGGCCCTGCCTGTTCGGGACCACATCAAAGACAATGAAGCGGTCGGTATTCTTCAAGTTCATGCCCTTCTGGTAGGCTTCCAAGATACCGATGTGCGTTTTCACACCTTTCCTTAATTGTTCGATCACACCCAACGATATCCGTGTACAAATATGACCTTCAAGCGGAAAAAATAAAGGGAGATGTCTCTACTAGCGGGAATATATTTTCATTGCAGAAAATATGTGCATCAAATGCGGAAAAGGGAGGAAGAAAACATCCTGAATCATGTTTCAAAGTTTGTTTCTGCTCTCTCTGCTGGCCCTGGCTTTGATGTGTCATCGTAATCATAGAATTCGGACACTGGCATGAGGGGGAGTGACTCCACACGGCCCAGTTGCACTGCTTCACAACTTTGGAAGGCAGAAGTAAAGGACTTGTGGTGGGCAGCAATGCAAACCTGATGAGATGCACGAGAGTCGGAGTTGAGGCACTCTGACTTATCGAATAAGAGCACAATTTGCGAGGCAACGGAGAGCCCTTGCTTGAGCATCATTTCCTCGATGTTCCTGCGGTGGGTCACCACGGTCGCCTGCTTGGTTTGCTTCTGAAAAGCAGGAAGCTGAACATGCCCCAGGTTTGCCGAGCTCATCCCAAGAATCGTGCTCAGCACATTCACGGCAGTGTTGACCTGCTTGGCACTGTTCGGCATCACGGTAAAGTCCAGCAAACACAGCATGTACCTGCAAGGATGTGATGAACTACAGGCCGTTTTTGCACTCAAGTACTTTCACCCTCCAGTAAAAGAAATGATATATATATATATATACAGAATATCTTTAATAAATTGTTTACCTTTCATAAACTTTCTCGCTCTAAGTTTCATGATGGAAACTAACCAAATGCTCACAAGTCACATGTCCCCGGGAATGCCCCGAAACTGCTCAGTGAACGTCATGAACTGCGGCAGCACCCCGTTGTAGTCTTTGTCATCAGGCAAACGGATCAGGTGACACTTCTCCTGCATCCACTTCTCCACATAGATTTTGCCCGTCCTTGATCACTAATGTGTTTGAGGTATTTTGTGGTAGCATGACACTTTCTAATAAGTATTGGTTGAAGGGCTGCAACAGACCTGCTATCATCAAAATAAATGAACAAAGTAGATTTGGTCTGGTTCTTGACATGATTCTGTTGTCGGTCCCGGACATACTTCAAATCCTTTGCAGTCTGTACCGCTTGATCTTCACAACTACCCATCTGGGCCCGTAGAACCGCCCAATCGCTTTCAATCTGTGCCTCGAGCTGCTTGAACGTTGCCTCTGCAACAGCACGGGCCAGTTCTTGCGATCTTTGCTCCTGCTGCTCTCGCTGAACCGATTGAATCTGAGCGACATGGCTCCTGCACAGCTTATCCATTGAACATTAATCTGATTAATTAAGAATAAAACAAAGCCCAGCCCAGAAGAAACCACCACAAGCTACCCCAAGGGCCGCCTGAACGCACCAATGGAAGATAAATCTCCTGGTGGTACTGAGCTTTCCAGCGAGTGACCCAAATCACCATCAAGATAGCCATGTAGGAACTGATCCAAAAGCCCAGCGGAGATTGTGGGGAAATCTGCTGCTGGCGCGATGTCCCTCAACCGTTGCAGAAAGAACAAGTAGAGCCCGCAAAGCTGATGGAGTTTGCAAGCCTGGCTGAAGTTGCAAGCCTTGCGGCTATCCACAAAGCAGTGGTCATGGTCAAACTCCAAGCGCTGCAAGAACAATCCAACCTTGAATCAGTGGAAATGTCAGCAGCAGTGATGGGTGGGCACAAACTTACACATGACGCGTATCCCATTACATCACCTAAAAAAATTGCAAGTGCTCCGTTGAAGAGCAAACGCCAGGTATGGTATGAGGATTCACAAACCAAAACCCTTGGTAATATGTTTTCCATTCCCAATTTAAAACATGATCAACAAACATTTATGTTGAAAGACATCTTGAACATTCTGAGCTGAGGTTCCAATTCCTGATCGTCACGGTTCGTGAGCTCATCTTTCCAAGCTTCAATGTTGCCAATGCCAGAGGAGAATCCGGTGCTGAATATACCACGGCCTATGGCATCATGAGTCAAGAAGCGATGCATGCCCCGAATCTTCACTGACTCGGTGATTCGCGAGAGAAACAATCCATTCACATCGCTCATCAGGGCACTCACCGCTGCGGCTTCGCCCTTTCCGATTGCAAATGCTTTTGCCACAGCTGTGGCATTGTCCCACTCCTGGACGATCAAAGCAAAAAAATGTCTTGAATGTACCTGGATGTACCTGGTAGTTCCTAAAGGTGCACCTAGCTTTCAATCTGAGTTCGAACAAAATTCCAAGGCCTGAAAGATCCGTTCCACACTCTTGCTGGCGCCAGCTTTTTGAAGGATCTTGATCTGCCGAATGAAGTTGAAGCAGTTCGGGGGTTTGCGAATTGTGCTCGCAAGCGTGGCACCTTTGCAATGAAGCAATGTTAAAGGCACTAATCATCACATGTCAAAATGAAAATAGATGAAAATAGTTGAAGTGTACCTTGCACTCAATGTTGTAAATTACACCATATGTCCCGCCTCGGCTGGCCATAATTTGTGTCCTGACGTCTGCATCCTTGAGGGCAAAGTTGACGTGAATTGTGCCATATGTCGCCTCAGTGCCACCGGGAATTTTGCAGAACTAACTACAAGTTGATAACTGAAATTCAAAGTGTTTCTCAAGATGTTGGAAACCGTGTCGAAACAGACTGAAACAAAGTTTAACATCATTGCAATCCAGATTACGAGAAAACTGTGACCAACGCAGCTCTCCAAGTTGAGCTCACGGATGGCCGCCAACACTGTCAGAAGCCCAAGAGCGCGCTTCCAACCTTTCAAAAAACCCACGCTGAATGGGGGAAGCAGGTGCTGGTAGAGGTTCGGCATCGCCTCGTAGCTCCCATCTAGGAAGCATGTTGGCACTTGGCAGCAACTGAGTTTCTCAACCGAAATCTGATCAGGGTCGGTCAAAAACCCCTCGCTCATGATGAGCTGAATCAGCTCCAGGAACATGTCCGGATCATACAGACCCGAAGTTCCAAAGTCACTCCTCCAGGCTAGCATCCAAGGTCGAGCAAAACCACTCACGTCGAAGCTTGTGATGTATTTCGTCCTCACTTTCAAAATCAGCATGAAAACCATGTATTGAAATCTTGTGATATACTGCTGGCAACACCACCCAGAACATTGACACAGTGTATGTCACAATTAAAGATTATTGATTTTGATTGATTTTGCTTTGAAGCTTTTAGCGTTGTAGTAGGTTTTTAATCCAAGTTTCTCCCCACTCAACGGTGGGCAAAAGTTGTCGATCCACTTCGCAAAATCCATCCTCGTCTCCTCACGCCAAAGTGAGACTTTCATGATCAGGAAAGTTGAAGTTGATTTTCATATACAGTAACAACGCCAAGCAAACTTTGAAACAATGCGGGCAGCACCTCAGTGGGGTAGCGGTTGGTCAACCAGCGATCTGCGCCACCCAATGGTCTCACAGTGTTGTTGTACCTCAGACTCAGCTTGGTCTATCTATCTAATCTAATCTAATCTAATCTTTGTAATTTTCCCATTGGCTTGGCTGCGCGAAAGGGGTTAAGAAGGGCGACTTTTGTGTGCCCAAAAAGGGTTCCAAAAATAGGACAAAAAGTCGCCAGTAAAAATCCCAAACCAAAAGGAAAACTACAATCTAATCTAATCTAATCTAATCTATCTAATCTATCTATCTATCTCATTGGCTCACATGGCACTCACGATGACACGCAAACAGAACGACACAACAGCGATAGATTCCGCTGAGTCACCACTCGCAAACCTTCGGGATGTGAGGAAATTTCGCGAACATCTTGTCGACGTCAATCCCTCCATCTTTCCTGGAGGCCTTTGAATTCGACTTCGGGTTTTCCGCCCCACCTTTACTTTTACGTTTCACCGGCATGGCAGCGGCGACCCTGGCACTTGAATCAAACTGCTGACAACATAGTAGCTGAGACAAGTATGGAAGAGACACAGAGTAGCTGAAACCTGAAGCCTGGAAACCTTCAGCTTTCAACTTTCTCAATGATAAGTGGAACTGTTTGTTCAAGGTTTCAAAATTGCAGAGACAGCAGTTGAAACTCAAAGACTTGAAAGCCTGGAAAGTCGAAACCCTCAGCATTTTGTTTGTGGATGGATTCGGTAGACTGGCCTGTAGTTTTCTTATTGTATATATATATAGATAGTATCATTGGTATATGATACATATAGATATGGAATAAAGAACAAAAAAAACGTTGCCATTTGTGTTTTGGGTCATCAGTATGTATTGTGTTTATGTTGTACTGGTCTATGTGCACACAACCCGAAGGCTTTTTTGTGTTGAAACCCTCCCCTTTCAAAGTGTGCAGTGTCGAAACTCAAAGTGCGGAGTGTCGAAACCCAAAGATTTAATAACTTGGAGTGTCGAAACCCATAACTTTCAATGCTTGGAGTGTCGAAACCCAAAGATTGAATAACTTGGAGTGTCGAAACCCATAACTTTCAATGCTTGGAGTGTCGAAACCCAAAGATTGAATAACTTGGAGTGTCGAAACCCATAACTTTCAAAGCTTGGAGTGTCGAAACCCAAAGATTTAATAACTTGGAGTGTCGAAACCCATAACTTTCAAAGCTTGGAGTGTCGAAACCCAAATATTTTATAACTTGGAGTGACGAAGCCCTTAACTTTCAAAGCGAAGAGTGTCGAAAGTGACCTGTGTTTCGACACTCAGGCCTCAAGTCAGAGAAGAAAGGCTCAGTGTCCAAACCGACCACTGCTTCGACACTCAGGGCTGTGTTTTCAAATCAAGCACCGGGTGTCCAAACCCACCTCGCTTTGGACACTTTTACTTTGATATTTCAATGGTAACTTTGATGTAAAACTTTGACTTTCACAAGTAATTGCTCAAATCATTGGATAAGAGTCCAAACCGACCTCACCTTGGACACCCAGAACATCTCAAGAACATAAAGCCTTGAGTGTAGCGTAGGCTAACTTCAAATACTTCAGCCCCCTAAACGGTACTGCCGCACCCGAAATGCCACAACGTTTAGGGTTTAGGGCAGCGCCTAATGCCACAACGTTTAGGGTTTAGGGCAGCGCCTAAAAATCTGAAAGCCTTGTTTTTGCCTCAACGAACAAATATGTTGTTTTTTTGAAAGAGCCAAAAATTTGAATATGTCATTACCTGTCAAGCATTTCTCACAACTCGATTTTCCTGCATGTTGCTGTCAGCCTCCCTTCCGATGGCCTTTCCCACCAGGTTTTGATTTGTTTTTACCTTTTCCTTTAGCTTTTCCTGTACATTGGTGTTCGGCTTGTACAGCCCTCTCTGAAATCAAAAGGGCCTCGTCCCACGACACTCCATCACTCCACATTCTGGCAGCAAGTTGGTAGACAGCACGCTGCTGAAACTGCTTCAAAGACTTCGCGCGCCCTTCTCCCACCCGCAGCCTCAAAGCGCGCAATGTTATCTCAAAAGCAATGTGGTTTCAATTGGTATTTTGCAGACAAGCAACCGCAAGGGATTGGGGCGAACAAAAAAGGACGTAGCAGCATTGGCCCGGAGAGGTGTGGTTGCCGCACGAAAAGGATCCCCAAGACGGCACCTCACGTGTTCGTTGAGAATTATTGAGAAAGTGAAAGAAAACGGTCGATGGCACTTTCATAAAAACCTAAACAAACCAAAAGGAAACTACATTTCTTGGCATCAAACTTTAGGTTCTTCAAAGAATTCAACTTGAAATCGTTTGAACTGTACTGTGGCATTCAAAACCTGCATGCCTGACTGACAACAAGCCGAGTCACGCATCCAAACACATCAACGGATTCAAGGGCAAAGTGCCACACACCCACTGCTCCAAGTAATCGGCAGCTTCAGTCATACGGAATTCATTCGATCGAAGAATGGGACAGTATTTCAAAATGCCCGCCTTGTACTCCTCCGACAAAGGGTTGCGCTCTGCAACGACTGCACGATAAAAGCAGGATCAAACTTAATTACAACAAATGTAAGCCCAAACATGCCAACTGTTGGAAAACCACACATCACATCAATGTTTACGTGCTTGCAAGTGTTTTCCATCTCATTTATGATACCCACGTTTCCATGTATATAAAGGAAATCGTACAACATGATGCACATTACTTTAAAATTATATATGTTACTTTATGTAAGTATCATGAATTCATATGTATATATATATATCACTTTATATATGTTACTTTATATATGTTACTTTATGTAAGTATATATGGTTCATTTCATTTCCTTTTCTTGTGTGTTTGCGATCAAACTTCTCGAATCATGGTCTCGCCTGGCGGTAAACCATGGGGCAACTGCTTGTAAGCCAACTCCCTCGGGTAGAACCGAAAAGAGTGTGAGTAGTTGGCATCGGCCATCCAAAGCTTTGTCCTGGCAAACAGCCATCGAATCGAAACCAAACTAAACGCAAACTTGCACGGACAATAAGTGTTCAAAATGGCAAGCATCACGCCTCAACACAACATCGTGTGGGTGCACACGGTGGGTCTTCGAGTACAGCGGGTCGATCAAATCAGATGCTTCCAGTCCTGCAGCAGACTATGAAAACTTCTTTTATAGTAATTGAAAAATCTTTTGGTATGAAAGCCTGGCTTCAAAACGGTGAACGGTATCAAGTTCGAATTTGGAATTCTTTTGAAACATAAAACTATGGAACATGCTGGAAGATGTTGGGCATTCGAACCCCAGAACCTGTCGCATCGAACCGGGAGAAGTGGAACACATGTGGGGCTCCAGGCCCTCCAATTCCAGCAAGTTTGGCCGGTATGGCCTCCAACAGCCATGGCCTCCAATCGCGGACCCTGTCCACTTTGTAGACGAATCTGCCACGCTCATGTGGTCTCTCCAATTCGTTGCAAACCCGTCCTAACTCTTTGTGGAAACAACTTGAGGTAGGTACTACCTTCATTTTTGCGATCTTCACAGCAATCTGCCCAAAGAGTTGGTCCACATCTTCATGCGAGTGCCCTGTCCGAAGACAGGACACTCGCATGGATCTCACGGTGTGGTTGGAAGTCAAGGCACAGCAAAGCCTCAGGAAATGACCATTTTTTAATTCCCGAGGGGTGTTGTCGCATTGAACTGTGATGTCCACCTGCGACAAGTCCATGGACTTTGACGCCAGTTCCAATCCGCAGCACACTGTCTCGATGCAATAGTTGCTGTCCTTGGGGACATCGCTCTCCGTCAGGAACAGTGCAATGAAATGTCCATGGGCAATCACGGCTGACAAATGCAACCTTGGTCGTTGCAGCCCATCGAAAATTTTCGCCTTCAGCAGCGACGCGTTGCGAGGGAGAGAACATTTGGCTTGGTCCATGCCGTCAACAATCAACGTTAGGCTGCCAGCATGGCTTCTGCTGTCAGAGCGAGATTTCCAGTAAACAACTCTATCTCGAAATTGATCGTCAAGGTGCTTGTAGAAAAGTTCCTGCTGGGTCCTTCTGGCCACCAAGTGGTGTGAGAGGCTTTGAATGACACTCTTGTGTTTGATACATTCTGTACACTCAGTGTGGGATGAGACCTTGCGAAACTTCATGGCACTGAAATCGGATGCCCATACCTGAATCCAGCAAATAGACACTACTCGTCTTGAAAGGGATCATCCTTTTTCCAACGTAAACCGAGGGAAAGAACTCGAAAATGCGACACATACTGTAATCAAACATCAAAGAGACCCGCCAGAATACAGGAAAGGAAGCTGGCGTAGATAATTTGCTTTGGCGAACATACTGAGTCCAGTAGTCTTTCATTGTCCCAGGCGGTAGGTACCGTGGTTCCAAGCTGCCATCGCGAATAGGCATAGACCGGAAAAATTTCCTCGGCTTGGCAATCTTGCTTTTGGAAACTGCAGACTGGTACGGGTCTGATTTGAGCTCAACCACTGAACTCTCCAAATCTTCTTCACCTTCTTCAATGGTCCCATCTCTCACGTCTGGCAAATTTTCCGCAATCGATGCGTAGATGTGGTGAAGGAACCCGGTGACGTCCCCCCGTAGCTCAGAGCTCGCAGCGGTGGCAAGCTTGGATTTCTTCAAGTATCGAAGATCTGCGGGAGGTCCCTCAGCCCCTGCATTTGCCGCTCGCCAGATTTTGCTGAAGCGCGGGCGTCCTCATAATCAAGTGGATCACCCCGTATTCATGAAATGAAACCCCCAGCCATCACACCCTAATCAGTTATCAGTCATCAGTTAAATCATCATTTCATAAAAACCGGTGTATTGTTTATTGCAGGCCCTTCTTGGTACTTATTATTCTGTGGTGCGTGTTTGGGTGGCTTTTGCTAACGACATACTCACTACCCGGCAGCCTTTGAAACTGAAATCCACCCCACACCCCGGAATCCTCTCCAAATTCGAGCTCTCAGTCCACTTTTATTGGGCTGATGATCGTTAATAAAGCATGAAAAAAATACACGTATATATTTTTAGTTGGTTTAAGATTATAGTTCAGACCGTGCGGCCCCAAGGGCCGCCGGTCATCAAAAAAATACACGTATATATATATATATATAGCTGGTTTAAGACTATAGTTAAGACCGTGCGGCCCCAAGGGCCGCCGGTCGTCAATAAAGCTTGAAAAAAATACACGTATATATATATATATATTTATATTTATATTTATATTTATTTATTTATTTATATATATAGTTGGTTTAAGATTATAGTTCAGACCATGCGGCCCCAAGGGCCGCCGGTCATTAAAAACATTGATTATAGTAATTAAATGTAATTAATATATAATGACTTTAAGATAGCCAGGCGTCGCGGCCCCGAGGGCCGCCAGCCTGAGTAAGGCCACAACTTGAGTGCCCTTTCTAAGGGACTTCGGTTCCAGAAACGGTTGAAAAAGACCATCCAAATTGCCAAAAAAATGATTTGAAAAAATGCTAATTGAAATATCTATTTATAGTACAACTTATAAAGAGAAAGAAAAAGAGAAAGAAAGAGCTGCTATTATGATACTCAGAGGTGGTTCAAGTTACCAACAACATCCTAAAAGAATCGAGCAAGGAACCAATGCCATGAAGCTCTTGAAAAGATCGCTGGCACACGCTCCGGCCCAAGAAACGCCAGTCAATGCGCACACTTCCGTTTCGCTCTTTGTCTTTAACCATGTCAAGGACTTTCTGGAACACCTGTGGCAATCCCACCCCATCTAAAACATCACTACATGCAAATTAAAAACAGACCAAAAAGAATCACACATCACCAAGACTTTGGGCGCGTTTTTAATTCAAATATCATCATATGTTCAAATATTGCTAGGCGCAACTCAAAGTTACAATCGTGTCTTGATCCGTTTTGTGATATCCCTTCCATGTCCTTCTGAAAGTTCGGAACTCTTCAAGGGAGTGCTTGGATTGAAACTGCTCCTTGCATCTCCTGGTGCACCCTGCAGAACATTTTTTGTTCACGACTAATTGAATCTTGATGTCATCATCTGACGCCAATCTCCGTACCCTGGGGGTGGTGGACTGCTTCCTCTTCAATCCCCGTCGACGAACATCAGGCGGCTGTTCTTCCGAACTATCGGTGACATGATCAACCACCCGGCCGGGTTCCATGGAGGAACCAGCCACATCATATCCATTGCCATGATCGCTCCAAGGGATGAGTCTGTGAGTAAGGGTCTCTCACAGAAATATGAAAAGCGTCTAGTCATATCTAATTTCTTGCTTTGGAAACCAATCAATCATCATCATCACTCAGTTTGAAATTTCAGGCAACCAGTTTGTCTTGACAGAACTGCTGGAAGGGCAGTGTTGGCATTGGGCCATCGGCGCCACAAGTGATGTGTAAAGCATCGTTGGAAACACTTAGAAATGAAGGGTTCTCAGCCGGACAGCGCACTGGAAACACCAACTCATGCCTCTATATGCCTCATATGACATAATCCCGGACCAAACATTTTTTTGGGTGAATGGAACAAGTTCGACCTATGCAAAAGGCCACAATCTAAACGTCAAGCGGTACTGAAGCGGGCCTGCATCTTTTCCCAAACCCGCAACTCCAAGATCCAAGTCAACGGTGATTTTCAACCAGCTAGTCCAGGATGAATATCAATCTCCAACTAGCTTGAATTAATTTGGGCGATATAATTATTTGGGACAAGAGCCCTGGGCATCCAGCATCGTCAAACATCAACCACACAAACTGTCCCTGACGAAGTGTGTGTTGCTGGTGGCAAGGGAATGGTAGCACATCACTGGCCAGATGCTTTCACTATTCCTACTAAAATCTCTGCAGCAAGTGTAGCGCATGCTGGGACTACTATGTTCCCCAAAATGCGCATGCGTTCTTCATGGTTCTCACCCCGCTGCTGAACCAACCACAAATGCTGAGGGACAGAGTTGACCTCATTGAAGCTCTTGACCATGAACTCCGCCAACGGCTTTGCACGAATATCCTCAAAAGCTTTGAGCTCATTTCGGAAAACTAGCTAGGCTGTTTCCTTTGACCGTACACAATATGCAGCATCAACCTAATGACAGAATCAATTGAAATATGAAAGTATCAACTTAATGACTGCGCAGTCCTTGAACAAGTTGACACCATGCCTTTGGGCCCAGAAGAACACTCGAGTTCTGGTGGCCTGAATAAGATCTTTTCTTCCTATTCGGGGTCTGCATTTGCATCCAGGGTCTGCAAAATCTATGCCTTAACATCTCTTCCCTGGTATGACTATTTCATGGATCGCTCGTCACTCTTTCATACCCCATAGTCAAGTTCAAGACCGGCTGCTGCTGCCCTCCGCTACCAATTTAGATTTCTTGGAAAGCCTTAGCAACCAAAAACAGAGCTCTCTTATGAGTCTGCAGACTCAGTCAGAGACTCAGACATTGAAAGTCAGTAAGTTTTAGACTCAGTGAGTCACTGAGTCTGCTGGTCAGTGCTGTGTCAAACAATCAGTCAGCCAATCGTCAGTCAGTGAGCCAGTCATCCTAGCATCCAGAGGACAGTGACAGAAGTTTCAAAGCTGATATTCTAGTTACTGAACCATTACCATTGTTAGGAAAAAGACGTAACACTGACCACTGCAGACCAGTATCCTGGCTGGACCGACCGTGAGCAAATGGTGCCAATATTATAGAAATTATATATATATATATGTATTATATATATTATATATATATATATGCAAATTAAGAAAGGAATATAGCATGAGACTCACCCACGCCCAGTGATGCCAAAACACGATTCATGTGATGTAAATTGTCCCTGCAGCTACTTCAAAGCGGCAGCAAATTTCTTCTCCGTCGCGAAATTTGTCAGTCAGCGGGCTTGGAGCAGTCAAGTGGTTCACTGTGACTTTCAAGTCTTAAACTTCAGAATTTAAATTGCCCTATGCCAGCCGCGATCATGCGGCGAGTCGCTGCAGGTGAGACCAAGTCATGCCCACCGTCAACCAAATTATTATGTCTCTGCGTCACTTCCCTATAATTTTCAAATCATTTCACATTTCACTGACTGACTTGGTTTTATGCACCGCCCTGCCGACGTCCCTTCACTTCGCTAACTAATCCTCAGTGACTTCATCTTCCTCAACCGGCTGCTCCTCTTCAACACCCTCTGCAACTTCAGCAGAAGCCGCAACAGCAGCACCACCATCAGCAGCGCTCGCAGGGGCGCCGCCAGCCGCAGCAGTCTCTGATGCAGCCTGTTGCATCATCATATCCTCGGAGCGAAAAAAAATCGGCCACAGGCAATCGTGATTTAAGAAAATGAGGTCAGGACGGCCAACTGCTTCACATCCAGCGTTGGCTTGCCCTTCTCGATTTCCACCCCGCAGGCTTCCTGAAAGAAATGGTGGTGGTGATCCAAATTTCAAATCAAAGCGAACGACGATTGGCGCTGACTCAAACCGTGAATTTTTACATGGAATTGCCTGTGGCTCAGTGTCACACACCATTGACTATGATATTTGGGTTCCCAGCGGTGATTTCCATCTGCTTGTCAGCAGAGACGGCCGGATGCTTCTTGATCTGAAGCAAGGCAATGGCAAGTGCGTGGCACCCTTTGACTCAATGACCATCAAATCAAATCAACTAACTAGACGACAAAGTATGACAAAGCTTAAGGTACCATGAAGCAGCTGCAAAAATTCACAGTGAGAGGATGAGAACCTGAAAGCAAACTGACTGGCTAACCCCACCGTCATCACTTCGTGGCCCTTGAACTTGATGCCCCACTTCTGGTCCTTGTGGTAGCAGTACTTGTAAGCTTTCTGGCTGCAGGGGCCTTTGGGTTCCACAGAACGTCCAGCTGGACGCTTAATGGGCCCGTTGCCCCGGCCCCGGCCCCGGCTCTTTGCAGTACTGGCGCTCGGCGGCGAAGCATCGAAACCAGTCGTGCCACCATCAGCCGCGGCGTCAGGATTCTGCTCAGAATCATCTGCACGAGTGGTGTTGGCACGTCCCTCTTCAGATTCATCTGGCAGACTTGAAGCAGCGGCAGCAGGCTTCTTCTTGGTGCTAGACTTGGCGGTCGACTTGCCCTTTGCCTTCCCTGTGCTCTTTGCCTTCGCCTTGACCTTCGGCTTCGCTGTGCTCTTCGCCTTGCTCTTTGCTTTTTTTTTGGAGGCTGGCAAAAGATCATCATCATCATCGCTGGTCTTGCTCTTTGCCTTCGATTTGAGGGCTGGCTCGTCGGGAGCATCAGACTTGCTCTCTGCTTTTGTGTTGACTTTCGGGGCTGACACGGTATTATCACCATCATCATCACCAGGACGACCTTCACCGTCCACACCTGCAGTCTCTTTCTTCACTTTCTTCTTGGGAGCGGCAGGTGTCTTGGCAGCGGCCGGGCGGCCCACAGTGACAGGAGGACTGGCAGCCACTGGACGCTCAGTGGGGCCTGAGGGCCTGCTGCTAGCGCCTTGTACTTCATCGTCCGACAGAATCTCAACGGATTCCTTCATAAGGAGGTGCCAACGAATGACTACCTGACTCGCTACACTATAGATCCTGATCATAACGGGTGCAATAAATCACGCTAAATGTCAAGCTTCGGCTACTAGTCAACCACCACCACCTTCAGCTACTACTCAAGCTGGATGAATAATGGGCCAACTTTCACATTACAAAAACCTACGGCGACAACACGTGATTGCGACATTTTGCAAGTCAGCGTGTGTTGCCTCACGAGCCGTTGGGGAAAATTCCGCCGATCTTTAAAGATCCGTGGCCAGCCGATTGAAAAGGACAGTGAATGCCTTCGAAGCAGCTATGATAAAGTGCCTTCCAAAGGATCTTAATTAATGAATGGAGTCGGTTACTATGATTCAAGTGAAAAAATGATTGACACTGAGACTGACAGGCCTTGCAGTAAACGCTGCAGCCTCCCTGCCCAGCCAAGGGACAGTATAGCTTTATAGCCACACCATCAGGCACTCACTGTGACACGTTGCGAGCGGCCAAAGCTTAGGCTTCATAGATCCGTGGCCAGCTGATTGGCAAAAACGACAGAATGCCATCAAAGCAGCAGTGATTTAAAATGCCATTCAAAGGATCGGAATGACATGGAATTGATATCAGCCGAAAAACACATTGATTGACAACGGCCTTGCACTCAACGAAACACGGTAGCCTCCCTAGCCAAGGGAAGGTCAGCGCATGAGAGCCACACCAGCAGGCAACTCAGTGTGACACGTTGCCAGCAGCCAAAATGTAGGCCCCATGGCCAGCCGATTGGTACAAAGGTTCAAAAATGATGCCAAAACATTCATGATAAAATGACATTCAAAGGATCGGAATGAAAGGGAATTGATAGGGGTTCAACCGGACTGGCCTTGCACTCAACGAAACGCAGCAGCCTCCCTAGCCTTGGGAAAGCTTGATAGCCATACCAGCAGGCACTGTGACACGTGTCAACAGCCAAAACTTAGGCTTCATAGAACGGATGCGGGAATGCTCCAACCTGACCTGGGATGCAGGTTAGTACGACCTGGTTCCTGCACCACCCCAGACAAACTAAACTGAAACAAGCTGAATGGCTGGATTCCAAAAAAAAAATATAAATAGATGACAACAGGCAACCTCCCACAGTGTTCTGGCCACGGTGGTCTGGGGTACCATCTTCAATCCTCCGCCATCAGTGGACAAGTAGGCTGCCCCGAACATGCTGTAGCGGAGCTCCATAAGATTCGATCCCTCGGGCAACTTCTTGGGCTCAAAGAAATTGATCTTGGGATTGCCAGCGATGCAATACCGGAAAGGAAGCGGCTGGTCCTGGATACAGCATCTAGCAGCCTGCGGCTGCATTGGACATCATTGCATCCCCCAACTTTGATCAGAAATTAAAAAAGGAGCATTTGAAATAATACCCCCCCAGCAGCTCCTCAGAAACTCGCTGGGTGACGGTGTGATCCTCCACTGCGAGCTCGGTGAGGCCTGCACTTTTGGCCACCAAGCAAGCCAAGTTGGCAAAGCACATGGGAACCTTTTTCCCATCGTCAACGTAGATCATCATGTCTGTGTCGCGGGTCAAGTTGAACATTAAGCCAGTGTCCAAATTCGTCATAGCAACACCTGCATGAACCCAGGCTCATTTTTTGGGGATGAGACGTGCCCTCTGGTAAATTAGTGTTCCACGTAACCATGCACTAGAAAGTTTCTTAAAAATGAATGTGCATGTTGGCATCAAGCCTCGTGGCTTCTCAGTAAAGGACCCAACGTTGTACCCGAACATCTCAGCCGGGCCGAACTCGATGTCATCGCCAGTTGTATTCAAAAGGTATAACTCGTGGTCCGTGGTCAAAGCAACTTGCAGTTTGTCATTGGCAGTGGCCCGGCACATTGCAATTGGCCTAGGATCTACAAGTCCAAGCCTGAAAATAGCTATTATTGTTTGGATCATCAGAACAGAGGCCCAGGGTTAAATCCCATGACATAAAAATTGAAATTGGTGCTTAGGTACACTTTCTGAACTTCGAATTCTCCTTGGAGCATTGTGGTCGGCGACTCCCACACTGCATTGGGGTTCATTGGCGAATCCCCTTCTGAGAAGGCTGGTTCACACTGGGTGCGAGCGGCAGGACCTGTGAGCAACTGAAAAAAACGATGCAATGTTGGCACATTGACAAACATCGAGTCTCAGAGGAGATCAAAATCAGAATCACTAATTACTATTGATACTGTAACAAACATCTTTGGCGGCCAAGCACGACGAACAACGAAGCAGCAAACACGACTAAAAAAAAGCCTCGACTACGTCTTCTCTGTGGAAGCTGCAGAGACATCGGGGACCCTGAAGGTGATTGTCCAGAGTTGAATTTCGCGACCGCTTTCTCAATCTCAACTGCCTTTGCACCCAAAGAAGACTTCCAGGAACTTGGCAGCCTTTCAACAACCACCGGCGTCAAATAAATGCTGACACCGAACTCATAAGGTGCTGAATGCAGCATGCAATCCCCTGGAAAAACACGCCAAGCAACACCAGTTTGCCATCATCAATCGCCAACACCTCCAGCGCTGGCTGCGGTTCTTCAAAAGGGGTGGCGGCACGATTTGCAGGACCTGCTTCGCTGCAAGAGTCCCAAAACTCCTGCCGGTCAATTCTGTGTGCCCGACAAAGGGCGGACAAACGACGACTTCCGACTTAGATCTGAAACTATCATATTGGTTGAATTTTCATTCTTTTCCTAAGGATTCGACAGTGAGGATGTGGCCAGCCATCCACTTTTCGCACTCTGCTGCTTCGACTATTGCTATGTCATCTTCAGAAGCGCAAGCAAAGAAGCGCCAATCAAGCTTGCTGCTTACTCCCCTTCCCTTGCCGTTCAGGTTCCAATGCTGGAGCTCCCAGCACGCTCTTCCCCACTCATTGTACCTGCGTGGGTAAAAACTGATGGACGAAAAAAACACCTTTGGAAGCATTTCTTCTCGTGCTGCTCAATTAGCCTAGTTTCAATCTCAACATGAGGCTAGGAACTTGGACAGCATCATGTCACAAATGAAGATGGGGGTTGACCCATCACTCTCTGCAGGCTCCAAGTTCTCAACAAACGCTTCCAGAATCTCTCGTGTTCCAGGAACACCGCGCTGTTGAACCTCACCAAGAAATACTATCCAGGAAGAGTAGCGTTTCATCCATTACTGGGCGAACAATGATTGATCTACAATAACTTGAAAATGAAAAGACCAATGTTCATGTCTCGCACTTAAGGAATGAACTCGTTGAGCTGGAGTCGGTGGACGGTCCAAATCGTCGCACCACAGATCCATAACCCTAGCCCTGCTTACCGGGCCAATCAGGCCAAGCAAGGCTTTGGACTTTGCAAATCCAAAGCTGTTCTTGTGAATCGGTGGGACGGCGGCAATGCCTGGGATTCGAGTCTTCTGTCAGTCAAATTCAGTTCTACACTGGCTGCTATGATACCAAAGAGAGTAGTTAGTTAATCTGATTCATCTGCCGCATCCTTTGCCAAGGATCAAGGCTGTGAGCGTCGACGCTTGTCACCGCCATGCCCACTGTCCTTGTAGGCAAGGCTCATTTCGAAGCATTCCATTGTCCTGAGTAGATTGCTGTTTCAAAGCCGCAGCTCCAAAGGATAATAGTACCATTGCTATGCAAAATTTTATCCGGCTTCATTGCAGCATTAGGTTCATCAAGCGATCTTCAAGTGATCGTCGGTGCGCTGAAAGGGCCGAAGATTCAGTGTGGCTGGCCTGCATTGGCATCAAGGCCAGGATGATGGCATTCGGGTTCGCAATGCAGAGCCCCTTGGCCGCATCGAACACCTCATCGACCAGGACCGGTCCTTAAGCATCATGATCCCAGCCGACTTCAATTGTTGAAACACGGACTTGGTTAACATCAAAATTTGAGCATGTTTGACATGAGAGCAAGTAGTAATAACTGCCCATCAACAACTCAACTCGGGACCACTTGGAAAGACAAACTACCCAGGCCAGCGTCGGAGTGGCCACAAAGAAGCATCCAAGATCAACAGAGTCAACCTTGAAAAACGCCGGAGCCGAGAGACAAAAATTTCTGCTCATCAGATTAAGATCTACAACTGGTTAATTTACTTGTCACACCTCAAGTGCTTCGAGAAACGCATCAGAACGTGCTCCAGTGTCAATCTGGTAGCGGAGCAGCTCCGAAGCAAAATCTGTCAGGCCAGATGCTACCTGACGGTAGACCTGGGACCGTCCCATGAGCTCCTGGCAGTATTGCTTCCCCCTGGCCTCCCTGGCGGACAAGTAGCGAAGGTCCAAAGCCCCCTGAGGCGCTTAATGACCCAAGGAGTAATAATCCCGAAGAGCAATGATTCCACTTTGGAATTGACAATGGCACTGTCTGCAGCAACAAGACTCAATAAATTTAAGTCTAGGGCCTGGCGGTTGTTGTGGTCTTGGGCACGTTCACACCAGCCCTGCATCTGGCTTATATCAGAGGCAACGTTGTTCTCACACTGCTGCACAGTCGCCAAAGCCATCTTCTGCGCTGCCCTTGGACAATCATTTAATGAACGAATGTAGCCCCAAAATCATTTAAGCATTACCTTCAGGGATAGTGGATTCGAAGAACATCAACTCGGAGTGGAAGACCGGACTGGGCAACGCCAAAAAACAAATACCACCGAAACCCGGGTCATAGATACATGGAAGAAAAATATGGAATGAATTTGGAACTTGGGAGAATGCAGTAGTGGATTGCCATGGGCAAAAACAGACCCCACTACACAAACAGCAATAGGCTCATGATAATTATGGTTAGTTTACCCCGCATCTCATTTTTGATCTTGAGATCCATCCTGCCATGTTGATTGTCACCCCTAAATGGACAAAAATGTTAGACAAATGAACATAATAACAAGTGGTGGTCCAAAGCATCAGTTTTTATTGATGTCATACCATCCCCTGCCAGGTGTTGCTCTCCCCCAAAACTAAAAAAACCTAATGCACTCGCCTTTATTTACCTAATCACCTGATAATGATGTAGGTAATAATTGATGAAGTGGTCGATTTGGATAAAAGAACTGATTCACTGCTTCAATACACACCTCCCTGGTCAGAATCATCCACTTGTGAGTTATATGTGGTGGTGACTCATGATGGTGGTGGCGATGACGGTGATGCAGGTGCTGAAGACGAGGGTAAAGGTGTTAAGTGTAATGTAGGTGAATGATTGGTGATATTGATGACAAAATATGAAGATACTCAGTGTAGCGGCTGTAGCGGTGTCAGTTATTAATGTGTGATGATGATGATGGTGATGATGATGATGATGACGATGACGAGGACGATGACGATGATGATGATGATGACGATGACGAGGACGATGATGATGATGACGATGATGATGACGATGATGATGGTGGTGATGATCATGATGATGATGTGATGATGATGATGATGATGGTGAGGATGCGGATGATCATGATGATCATGATGATCATGATGATGCTGGTGATGTGGTGATGTGGTGATGTGGTGATACTGATGATGTTAATATCCAAGTTTCAACACAAGTCACCTGCCTGGCCCAATGCCAAGAGGATTCTACTGTGTGAGTGTGTGTGTGTGTCTGAGCGTGTGTGTGTGTGTAATGCCCACCACCAGGTGTAAACGTACCTGCAAAGTTCAAATTTTGGACATGACCAGGTGGCTAAGCCAGAAACCACCCACTCCGACATGACATGATGACATAACATACCATGATTTCATTTCATCTCATTTCATCCTGTCCCCTTGGGGCGTATCCAAGTGTGTGTTTGTGTGGCAGTGGCCGACGCTACTTAGCGGGCGCCCGTGATTACTTAGCTAAGACGCAGCAACCTGACACTACTTAGCGGCTTAAAGGACACGCGTGATTACTTAGCTAAGACGCAGCGACATAACCAAGAACCCAAAAACTATTTGGAACTTGGGGTGGCAACTGTCTTCTTCAGCATATAGTCAGCAACTCAGAGTCCGTTCCAGCCAGTCATGGCAACACAAATCAAATCATTAACCATCTGTTTCATGTCATTTCAATGGTCATTGATGCACCTTACAACCTCACTCGCTCATAGCCTGAAAGCCCGAATTACATTCGAAAAGATGGAATTATGGAATGTGGCTGTTCCTAACTCTTTTCATTTCCAGTGTCCAAATTCCAGACCCCACACTAGGCAGTGAATCTTAAAATCAATTCTCTAAAGCATGGCTTAAATGATATTCAATGACCTGATTCAAATGGTCATGGGACCTGGGAAGTCTCGGTATAATTAATTCATATCCAAATATTGAGCCAACATGTTTATAATATTCATGAGCTGAGACTCTTATGAGGGGCACCAAACATACGAAACCAACGTGAATGATGTCAAAACAAATCATCAACCTGCCCATAACCACCCATGAAAAAAGTGGGGGACCTCCGCTGCATCTAGCTGGGGTTCTGGATAGGACTTGACTCAAATCATATCTGACCCTGCCACTGGCGCATCAGCTTAACGTAATTCAAGACACTCTTCTTGAGCCTCTTCGCGAGCTTGTGTCACCTGCAGGTTGAAGACATGGGGAAAACCCAAGGTTAACTTCGACGCATTTCAAAGTAGCTAAAAATAATGCAAACTAAATCAGCCTTCTTCTCGAATTTGGCACATGCCGTGTTGAAGGCTGAGATGCAATCCAGTGGGACTGGCGGCACTTTGTTTTCCAACATGGCTGTCAGGTCTGCATCCATGTGGCGGTACATGAACCTTGGGCCAGGTTTGAAAGGAGGTGAGGGCCTGGCAGAATGATCTGAATACAAACACGACCTAAATTTCAATATGGCAGGCTTGTTGAGATTCATTCCAAGCCACGCTCTCCGGATGGCAGCTTCCTCTTGGCGAACAAAAGCTGAAGGAAACTTCGATTCGAACACGTCAAAGGCCGCAATGAAAGCAGCGCAATTTCGCTGCAATGATTCCTGGTTTTAACATACAAGTTGACGCAGATACGTTTGCAACTCCAAGGTTGGCATTTTGTCCCACGTCAAATTGGAGCTTGAAGAGCACAAGACATCATCACATATTTAGCTCAAGTATCGACATCTTTGGCAGTGAATGGACGGCGAAGCCTTGGGTTCATAGCAAGCCAATCTCCTTCAAGTCTTTGGAGGAGCAGCTCCAAAATGGGTGTGCTATTTGTCAACGCATCAGGCCAAGCACTGTAAGCGCTTACTGCGCTGCAAAAGTCTCGGTTAAATACACCCTCTTTGATGGAGTCGTGTGTGAGGAAGCGGTGCATGGTGTATCGCCTGGGCTCAAAACGCCAAAAAACTGAGTGGGTTCAGCCAGGTTTCATTCTACTCAGTACCAACCCAATTCAAATTCATTGTTCTGTGTTTCGACAAATGGCGCAACCAAGCTGGAAAGCCCATTGACGATGGGCTGGTCCACAGAGTTCAACAACGCTAGGGCCGCACCGCTCTCTGCACGGCCGATCTGGTAGGCAGATGCCAGCTGGCTTGCATTGGACCAAGCCTGACATCAAAAGCTAATAATGGCTTCACATTGAAATTGGTGACTTGCTGTCGCGAGTCATGGGCATTGAACCTTTCTCACTCTTGCTATCTGGTGCTGTTACCTACTATGAGATCCAGAAACTTCATCTTCTGTGACATTGATGCGGCGGAGAAAAGTCATCTGGTGGAGCAACACAAAGGCGTTCGGCTTCTTCCGGACTGTGCTGCTCAGAGTGATGCCTTGGTGAAAGCGACGGCCCTGACTTTGAACTGGCAGCCACGCCATGATTTAAGCACTAAGCCCCTGATGTGTTAATACCATTTTTAAGCTAAGATTCACCTGTTGCGGACCACCAGCTCTGCGGCATCATCATCGCAAATCACAGTGCAGTAAATGCTGCTGAAACTCCTGACCCAATTTGAGCTCATGGGCATTGAGCTTTGAAAGTTTTGAATCGAAGCTCTGTGTAATGTTCCTTTTGTTGTCACATGTCACTGTCTGACAGCACTGGTTCTTCGCTTGCCAAGAGGCATCTTGACGGAATCATCCAGCACCTTGCAATCAATTTACAAACTAAAGAGGCTCCGTGGACCATATGTAAAAGAAAGTTGGAACCACACGACGCATGTAAACCTTTCAAGAAAAAAAACGATTGTTGGCTGTGGAATTGAAATTCCTGGTTTGACATGTCAATGTATGAATTGCCTTTACTTTCCCAGCCCCAAAGGCCTCAAGAAAGCCCGGCTGCTGCTGGCAGCAAAGAAGCACGGCATAACAGCAAAACATCCTTGTCCAACCCTTCACGACCATGAAGGAATGGGGATCTGCAAAGTTCACGTCTTCCACTTCCGAACCATCAAGGTCACTCAAGCACAAGCTATGCTCTGGAGATCCTCCCATCTGAGGTCTCAAAGCGCTGATTGTCAAACGTTCAACCCCTCCCTCGTCTGGGTTGCTCATCATCCTAAGTGTGGTGCATATTATCCCTGCTTGAGACTATCTAAAAACACTTGCAAACTATTATGTAAACCGCTCTCTCCCTCTGTGGGTGCATATTTAAGAGTATTCTCTGTTAGGCCCCCAGCCCTTGCAGGATAATGAGGTCGATGAGTTGCTGAGCAGTGTCCTGCAAAATCCATGGGGTCTGCAAAGGTCACAGTGCGATTCTGCGGCACAGCGATGATACACGATTCATACACACGACGGTCCGGTTCCAGTGTCCCCTTGAATCCGCACTGACGGGACCATGGGAGCATCCACGGCCTCAACACAGCTGGTCCAGGCTTGGTCACAGTGCGTGGGTCTGCATACTTCAGATTGCTCTGTGGAGGAAAGGTCTCATTGATGTACTTGAGGAACTCTATAGTTGTGTCCTGCTCGCAGAAAAAAGTGTGTCAAATCTCATTGTTTGCATGGACCTGAATCAAATTCAAGACTTAATCCTTGCTCGAAAAGTGCTTCTCAAAATACATCTGGAGAGAGCCGTGCTCATCGCAGATTTGCTTCCTCGGTGCGTGATATCAATTTATTTTTTACCAGTAAAACACATTTCATCTAGCACAATGAACAGCCAGGCCTCAGTGCGTAAGTGTCAACTGCAACTGTCAGCACTCAAACTTGAGTACACAAAGGTCGGTCAAGACTCGACCACGCATTGAAGATCCTGCGACATGGCGTCAAAGCTTCTAAAGTCTTCTGGGATGGGTCGTCCTTCACTTTCTTGGGCCTTCCCCGCCCATCACCTTCAGACTTTCTTTTCGACATCATGCACTCCCGAGATTGCCAAGCGAGGTTGCTTGAGCAGAAATTTAAATTAGCAGTCGTTAAATGAATGTCCTGGCACAGCATCACCACAGGTCTCAAAACGGCAATCATCCGCATGGATGCCTGGACTTCGCACCTTTTTAAGTTGACACATGCACGCCTAAAGTTGCGTCATGGTGGGTGCTCTTAATTGAAGTTGAAACAAATTGTTAATTGGCATTGGGCTCCACCTAACACCATGTGCTAACACAGGGTCCAGGCCCACCATACAAGTTCATGTAGTAGTCGATCATCACCTGGCAGTGACTGCAGCTAACAACCAATACAACATGTTTTGTTCACATGCTTTTCTAAAAAGCATGAAATTCAATGAAAATTTCTGGCCCTGTTTGGAGATTAAGTTTCGGTTGTAAGGCCGGGTAGTAGGAAATCATATGTTTTAATGCAAGCTGTAACATGTGCCTACTGACCCAAACACAAACACCAACTGCTGTTGAAACTATGCCTTGCGACATTTTTTGCCGCCGCTAAGCTGAATCTGTTCGCATTGAACTCCTACTGTCGCCTGGCTGGAAAACTTAGTTTTCCAGTTCTGGGCGCATGCTGCCAAACAGCCAAGGTAACATCAGTTTCTTGTCTCTGAACCAGATCCAACTGGAAAAATATATTCAATTTACTAGTTGGTTTCCTGTGCTCTAGCCCTTTTTAAAAAATCACCGATGCGATGCCATTGTCACAAGGTCACATGTTCCTTAATGCCTTTGGGTATTCTATTCCAATCCCTTACTTTTCCACGCCATGTCACTTTGATCATTTTGTGATGTCGAAGAGGGCACCGTCACAAAAAATCAGCTGAGATTACTACGTGCTTTTTGTGTAGCCTCCGTGTTGCCCATCACAATTTGTGATGAATGTCAGTGACGTTCATCACAAACGAAATTTTCTTTTAGATTGGCTCCAGGCATGACAAACTTTTCTTTACTTGACAAGAGGCCCCTAAATGTCCATGCCGCACCCAATTTTTTTTGGATTTGTAAGATCATCATGATAAATTGAGGGTGCAAACTTCATAAAAACAAAACACCGCGATACCCCTCCCGGCCCTAAGCCATCACAATTTGTGATGAATGTCAGTGACGTTCATCACAAACGAAATTTTCTTTTAGATAGCCTCCAGGCATGACAAACTTTTCTTTACTTGACAAGAGGCCCCTAAATGTCCATGCCGCACCCAATTTTTTGGGAAATTTGTAAGATCACCATGATAAATTCAGGGTGCAAACTTCATTCAAACAAAACCCTGCCATACCCCTCACAGTGTTAAGCCATCACCATTTGTGATGAATGTCAATGACGTTCATCACAAATGGGATTTTCTTTTAGATAGCCTCCAGGCATGACAAACTTTTTCACTTTACACGAGGCCTCAAAATGAGTCCATGCCGAATTATAAGAGCAACATGCTCATGAAATGGCGCTGCAAACTTTACAAACACCGCCACAAACAGAAGATGTTTCAATAGATTTTGTCATCAATGTAAACCCTCACATTTTGAGATGAATGCCCATCGGCCCATCGCAAACAAAGAAAATCTTGTAGATAGCCAACAGGCAATATTAAGTTGTTCTGTCAGTGCTGAACCCAAGTAATGTTTGTATTTGGTAAACTATGTTTGGATTTTGTCGCATTTTTGTGAGGGCAATGCCCTCACAAATTTACATCCCGGTTTGCTGATAGATTTTGTGATGAATGTCAATGCCTTTCATCACAAAACCAACTCCGGAAACCACACCCACCACCCAGCACTCCTGTAAGAGATCCAGGGGTGATAATTTCAACAAAAAACAGCCCCAGTTTGTGATGAATGTCAATGCCTTCCATCACAAAAATCATCCTAGTCAAACAGTTGGATTTATGATGATGGAAGTGATTTTTGGAAAAAGAAACTGCCCATTTTGAAAAACACTCCATGTGTGTTTTGCGATGATTTTACATCAAAAAAAACGGGTTTGGTTTTGTGATGAATGTCATCAACATCCATCACAAAACCTACCTGGATTTTTTTTTACAAAAAAAACAAATTGGGTTTTGTGATGAATGTCATCAACATCCGTCACAAAAACTACCTAGTTTTTTTAAAAAAAAAACGGGTTTGGTTTTGTGATGAATGTCATCAACATCCATCACAAAAACTACCTAGTTTTTTTTTAAAAAAAACGGGTTTGGTTTTGTGATGAATGTCATCAAAATCAATCACAAAACCTACCGGGATTTTTTTTACAAAAAAAACAAATTGGGTTTTGTGATGAATGTCATCAACATCCGTCACAAAAACTACCTAGTTTTTTTTTTAAAAAAAAACGGGTTTGGTTTTGTGATGAATGTCATCAACATCCATCACAAAACCTACCTGGATTTTTTGTACAAAAAAAAACAAATTAGGTTTTGTGATGAATGTCATCAACATCCGTCACAAAAACTACCTCGTTTAAAAAAAAAAACGGTTTTGGTTTTGTGATGGACATCCGTCACAAAAACTATCTAGTTTTTTTTAAAAAAAAAATGTTCGGTTTTGTGATGAATGCCATCAGCATCCGTAACAAAAACTACCTGTTAAAAAAAAAACGGGTTCGGTTTTAAATGAATGTCACTGACATCCGTCACAAAAACTACCTGAACCAAAAAAAACGAGTTCGGTTTTGTGATGAATATCATCAACATCCGTCAGCAAAAACTACCTAGTTTTTAACACAAAAACACTTTCGGTTTTAAATTAATGTCATCAACATCCGTCACAAAAACTACATTGATTTTTTTGTTTTAAAAAAGAAAAAGGATCGGTTTTTTCGTTCAAAAAACTGTGTTTGTAGGGCCTATCATCCCCATCAGTCACAAAAACTACTCGTTCGGATTTCTTTTCAAAAGGGTTGGTTTATGATGCCTGTCATCATCAATATCCTCCATGAAAGCTACACAAAAAAAAACAAAAGTGGTCGTGATGATTGTCATCCACGTTCGTCACAAGACCTACCACCCCATAGTGTTTTCATGTTTCTTTTTTGCGCGATAAACTCAAGGAGGCTCAACCATGGAAATTTTGAAAGTTGATCAACGATGTTTGCAGGCAGAAACACATTGTTGCTCCAGCTGTCATGGCGAAAAAACACCTTGCAACTCTTCACCATCATTCACGCCTCATATGTGGCAGCATCAAATGCCTCTGTCACTATGGAAAGGGCACGGTCAAAACTCAAGCCTTCACCCCAAAGTTGCACAGCTGCACGGTAAATATGTACATTCCTTCTGCGGGCACGGTATCGATCCAATACCACTGGAGGCAGGTTCTCCCGCACCAAACTGACATTGTTCGGAACCTGGACAAAAAGGGTGAGGAGCAATGTTGTGGCATCGTTCCATCACAGGCTGGTGGTTTTTTCCCAAAAACAAACAATCTTCCACGTCAAAAACCATGAAGAATCAAAAGCAGACACAACAAACATTATCTAGTATACATTGATCAATAACAGCTTCTGTTCAGATTGGGAACCGGATCGAAGGAAACCCCGGCATCATCGTGCGCAAGGAAACCATGGCCCATGGCTGGCCCTGGGGCCGGCAAGCAGTTGCTGACTTCCAACGGCTCTCCTCGGTCCAATTGATTCCGGGCCAACCTCTCCAAATAATGCGCGGCTTTGGCCATGCAAAATGGTTCCTCTCCTGGAACAGCAGAAGTGGTTTCGTTTTTGTCAACCACGGGTGAATTCATGCCACATAAGGATATTACATTCATAATTCCGTCATATTACATTCATAATCTCTCCGAACTCCTCCACAGGATGGATAACGTATGACCAATTTTGAACAGACTGGTGGCAGAACCAAAAACTTAAACACAATACTTTAAAAAACACATGTATTATCCCGATAGCATACTTAGAAACAGCCAAAAAACACACAGTAGTTGCGGGAGAAATGTTCATTTCAATGCTGCCTTCAAAAGCAGTACTGTCACAATACAACAACCTGTGTGAGCACAATGGGTAAAGTTGAAGCTGGTTATTTGCAGTTGAGGGGCGCATGAAGGCTGCATACTTCAACCAATTCGCAGCAGCATCATCGTCAAAATCACGATCAGCACCAATGACTGAGCGGGGCGAAGGATTGCAAGTTCCAATGCTTTGTAGTAAAACATTGAAGGGCCCTGAAAGTCATTACATCAACCAAACGCTATTGTGCCACATCGCCATCTTATGCCAAACATCATGAGACTGAGATTCACTAAGTTCGTCACCTTGCGGCACTGCACCAGCGTCCCGGATGGCTTGGCAAATTCGGGCTGGGAGGTAGAGAATGGGATTGCCCTTCCAGTCCGGGTCACTCATATATTGCTTTGTCCTGTCAGACCCAGTGCCAGGCAGCAATCTCAACAAACGTACGTTGATTTGTCAAACAACAGCACACCACAAACTTCAAGAACATATCACCCAACCTCAAAATCACGTCATCTCCAGACGGTGAGAAACCAAATTTATTCCAGAATCGGCTCTGCAGTTGCGACAAATCAACACCTGGACATGGCGGGCATCAGTGCCGCTAAGAAGGGATGCAAGGACAACAGCATAAAACTAGACTTAAATCATAAAATGAAAAGATTCCCGGTTTCAGTGACAGCCCGATAAAAGATGTTTTGTGACCCTACCTTTTTGGGAACCAACAATGGACTGCAAAAAACTCTTTCGATATCTATAAAACCCGGCCTTCACTCACCAGATCTGACCGCCTATCGTATGCGAACACATGGGGGGCACCTGGCCCACTGATTCCTCTAAGATGGCAATTGCGGGTAGCAAGATGCAAAAATGTTTTCCTTGCATCAAGGTCTGCCCCAAAATTCACCAAAAAAACAGTCAGATCAACTTGGTTTTACTCGAAACCATCATGTCTCATCAGGTCCAGTATTACAAAAATATTATACATTACCTTTAATCCTTTCTAAAGAAAGCAATACTTTTTCAAAATTGGTGAGTCGTCATTGAAAAATATAGATAATTTTTGCAATGGTAATCATCCGCAGATGATGGCGAAAAGGAAAGTTGTTAGGTTTTTTTAAAACCTCCTTGCTTGGGTTTTGAATTCAGTGTCCAATGCTGGACGCTGGATGCCATTGGAGCCAAAGTAAAGGCACGACTCTTTTTGTGGGTCAACATGGCCGCCATGGCCTGCATAACAAAGTAACCGCGACCAGTGTGTCAGACACAGTTACTACATCTGTCAGTCCTACCAGACGGCAAAGATAAACAGGCGCAACAAAGGCCCAACACGAGATTAATAGGCGCAACAAAAAGGCCCAACATGACATGTACCCAAGATGATAGAGCCCTGTTCATGTGAGCCCTTCGCTTGGATCTCAAAAGCCAACCATAGCTTGCACATGGTCTAGCATAGCTCCAAACACTTCCAAGTGGCCCAAAACAGAAGAATAGGCACAACATAGCCTCCACATGGCCCAACATGGAGCCAATGGTACGGTACTCAACATAGCCTCCCAATAGCCTACCGCCATATTTTTTTTTACTGGCACGGAATGGCACCATGCAATAGTTTTTGACTTCACACTTGCAAAGTCAAGAACAGGAAGTCACAAGTCAACAGCATGAAGCTGCTGGCTGCACACTTTTTCTGTACCCAACAAAACGTTGACCATATCCGAGAACTACATTCACCTCACAAGCGAACCTTTTGGTTCCAAGAAAGACAGCAAAATGGCAGAGGGCACACCAAGCAGCTTTTGTTGAAAAAGGGGTGCGGGACTAACAACCATCCCAAAAGAACGCCAAAATATGTCAGACTCTCTAGAATCCGCTGACGGCCTCAGAGCTTGAATTTTGGCATTCAAAGATGGTAACTGAAATATATCTGATATTCCCAGCCAAATTATCTTGGCAACCCTTTCTGCAATTTGGAGTCAGTGACTGACTTACTTCAGCCACAAGCAATGTGCTGTAACAATTGAAGGCTGGATGCATGACAAGCTCATTGATCTTTGGTCCCCGGCAAGATCATCTACGTATATCATTTACGACTCACTCAGTCAGCAACTATAAATACTGGACCTCATTTGACGTCAAAACCTTCACCAAAATCACAAAACGGCATCCAAAACTATTTGATAGCCCCGGCTCCAATCCCTTGTTGCGCCAACCAGCTGACAAATCCGCAATGGCTCGTGAACTCGAATGCCGCCCTCCCTGTCGTGAAATGCCTGTAACATCTGGACAAAGCAATCTGGAGTGGCCAACTCCTGGTGGCGTTCTATCTCAGATCCTATGGCAGAGAAATATTGATCCACGTCTTCATGTGAATGGCCTGAGGCCAGACACCTCAATTCCATTCGCTTCACTTTGTGAAGCCCCACAAGGGTTCCGAAGAGTCTTGCTGTCACGTTGTTTTTAACTTCGCGACTGGTATTGTCACTTTGACAAATCACCTCAAACTCTCGCATGTCCATCTTCGCCCCCAGAAGATGGAGCGAGTGACATATTAAGTCACAGCACCAACTCGCATCTTTCTTCAAGTGCGGCAAGCTGCAGCAGAGTAAGACATGATGGCCGTGACAAATCACTGCACTCATATCTAGAGTGGGGCGGATGAACCCTGAAAATTCCTTAGAGGCTGCCAACGCCGTTCGAGGGAATCTGAACTTTGAATGGTCCATGGCATCAGTGATGAGGCAGACCGTCTTCGAACCATCCGGCAGGGTTGTCAGCCGGGACGATGCCCTCGATTTCCAGTAGAACGTCCTGTCCCGGTATTGCCGGCCTAGATGCTTCATGTACCGTTGCATCTGCGCAGATCGGCCACGGGCATCATTTGCCAGCCGCTTCAAGAGCCGGCGATGACGCACACAAACCGCGCACTGCGCGTGCTGCGACTTCGGTCGGATACCAAGTCTAGAGCCAAAGTCTTTGCTCCAAACCTCAGATTCCCATGAATGTGGGGTCTGGTAGAAAATCACAGACGGCGACATATGGAAGACACTAGTCAGTAGCAGACAAACTAGCACGCTATTTAATGCAATACTCTTGGGGCTTGTGGTTACGGTTGTTGTTGTCCTTCTTGTTCTTCTGGATCTTGTTCTTGTTGTTGTCCTTGTTGTTCTTGTTGTTGCTCTTCTTCTTATTGTTGTTGGTGGTGGCTGGTGGTGGTGGTGATGGTGGTAGTGGTGGTGTATTTCTTTGTTCTTCTTGTTCTTGTTCTTGTTCTTGTTGTTGTTGTTGTTGCTGTTGTTGGCTGTTGCTGCTGCTGTTGTTGTTGGTGTTGATGTCGATGTTGATGTTGATGTTGTTGCTAATAGAGGAAGCATCAGATCAAGATTGATTCCCTTTAGTAAATCATTGACAACCTTGAAAACAAATGCTGAAAGAATGCTTCAGAAACAGCACAGAAAAGCTTCAAACTGATACGCTCCTCTGGATGTTTGGAAAGAAGAAGCCGATGGTAATCAGAAAATGACCCGGGCGGAAGCAGCCTCATCACCTGGGACTCTGGAACTTTACCCTGCTCATCTGTGACAACTGGAAACCTTCGAAAGCGCTGCCCAGGCCGTCTACCCCGAAGACGTCGAAATTTGGCCGCTGGCTGCAACTCTTGGCCATCAACACCTTTCTGTTTGCCAGCAGCTTCTGGCATTGGCTCAGCCACTGTGTGAACCAATTCCTCAAGGAACTCCACGACGATTGATCGTTTCCGGGAAGAAACCGGATTGCTTCCGTCATCTGCTCGGGGCCGGCATCGGCCATCCAAAGGGACTCTTCCAGCCGTCAGTGCGCGGGTTAATTTGGAATATCTGCCAGCACCCAAACCTAAGAGTTTTCGAAAAGCGTGTTGACAAACAGGGCGGTCAAGGATGACCCGCCTCTTCCGAGTCTGCTGCAAATCAGGCAGAGCCCGCCGCATCAATGCCAGCACCTTAGGATTCCACAGCCAGCTCCGCGAGCAGCGGGGGCAACAATAACTGATGCCGGATTCTGAGCTGCAAATTGCCCAAACAGATTTAAATTTGTGAGACCATAGATTAACTGTCAGGGGTTTTATTGTACTCAATGCCAATGGCAAACCAAAACTATATAGTAAGATCATGGCATTGGTGTCGGCCAACCAAAAAATGACGGATGCTATGGGCAAAGAAAACAGCATTATGAGTTCCCCAAGCAGCCTGGTTCTGGAACCATGTCCATAATTATTTTAAGCCACAAGGTAGCAAAACAAAAGCAACAAAACAATACATGAAGGTAAGATCCACAGATTCAGTGACAAACATAAACCCAACGTAAGCCCAACATGGCCCCGACATGACCCAATAACAGCGTGTTCCTTTTGGGCCGGGTAAGGGCTAAAAAGGAACACGCCGTTCTTGGCCCAACATAGTAGGCTCCAACATGGCCCCGAAAAATACAACAGCGGGAAAGCCCCCAGTTATAAAAATCTCGGTGCCTTCCCGTGCTGTTGCCAGGCCCCCCAACATAGGCTCAACATGGCCCCAACATAGCCCCCAAGGGCCCCAACACGGACCAACATAGGCCCAACATAGGTCCTATGAAACGGACCCCACCAAGTCCCCGCTTTTTCCTGAATTTCCCCAAGGAAACTTGATACTTGGTGGGGTCCGTTTTCCGGGGCGAACCCAAGTGGAAAATTGGCATGGTCCCGACATGACAAAAACGGCGTGTTCTTTTAAGCCCGGATACTAAGCTAGGCCTTAAATGAACACACTGTTCTTGATCGAACATAGGCTCAACATGTCTCCAACATGGCCCCGATATAAGGGAAATTCACTATGTAAATCTGCTTTTATTATGTTCACTATGTTTTTCAAATAAGCCCGATTGTACCGACCAAGTCGGTTAAGATCCCTCAAAAATATTTTGGGGGCCGTACCGCTTTAGTAAAAAACATTCACTGATATCAATGGACCTGCATAGCTCAAAGGTCTGAGGGGCTCATGATCTTTTTTTGGACCTGAAACCAGTTTGGGCTCTGCGTTTAGCCAGGACAAAAAAAAGGGTTAGGTTCCTACATTTTATTTTGGGCATGTTCGGGAGGTGTTCGTGTAGGGGCGTTGGGTCCCTGCATTTTCAACCATTCTCAACCAAACAATGCACCCACTGATTTTTTCCTCTTGCCCTTTCTTTGCAACTACCTAGAATTTTGCGCTGTTCTTCCTATTGCTTTTCTATACTTTTTCTAGGTAGTTGCCCAACTCTCCAAACATCATGATTCAGAGGTGAAATGGTTGGTGGTGCTAATTCTATTGCTGCATTTTCCCACCCTGTGGGTGGTCCTGGTGATTTGGTATTATTTGGTTGGTGGGTGCATGCGGGTGAAGGGAAGCACCAGGACGACCCACAGAATGGGAAAATGCAGCAATAGAATTAGCACCACCAACCCTTTCACCTCTGAATCATGATGTTTGGAGAGTTGGGCAACTACCTAGAAAAAGTATAGAAAAGCACATAGGAAGAACAGCACAAAATAACATGTGGTGACTCAACCCCCTTAAAATAGGCTGAGGCGGGCCTTACCCCTTAACAAATTCTGAGAATAAAATCACCTGTCGACGACATAAAACGAAATTGGTGGCTCTTGCCTTTTAAGGCCCGGACATGCTACAATAAAACGCAGCATCATCGTTTTCAGGAGCTCTAGCCCCTGGTCTTTAATTTGGTGATCCTGCACCAGAACCAGCCCGGCAGGGAACTCATATAACCAGCTAGTAACAAGCAGTTAACGTTTACGTGGGACTGGACCGGGGCCAAAAACAAACAAAGATTTATGAATGAATGCTTTGATACTTCTGCGTCCATGTCAGCCTTGGCAAGTCTACGCAGCCGAATGTAAAGCGCAGCCAAAGCTCCCACGTCAGTTTCAGTCCGAAACTGGGTAAAACAATTCACCGTCTTCTTGCGGAGGGGTCGAGCGCAAGGACACACTGTCCAAACAACTTTCGACAGCTTTCTCCGACAGAGCCCAACATCCATGTCAGCACCTTTGCTAGGAGAAGGCTTGGGCTTGGCCAGGGGTTGCTCCAGAGCGGGAGCAGCAGCTTCATCATCGGACAAGGCAAGCAGCTCAGGCTTTACTTCCACCGGAGGATCTGAATCGGCCACCAATTGGCCAGCTGGGGCCCCATCAGTCATCAAGCTCGAACAGGTGTTGATGAAAACGGTAGCTGTTGATCTGAAAACTTTTGTGAGAACTCCATGTGAACGCTTTACAAGGGCCATGCTTTTGAAATCAAAAACTTGTTGCATCTATTGCCCAATCCCCTGAAAAAAGTTCAAGCTTTGGTTCTCCACAATGTTGTTGCGCCCCACCCATACTAGCGAGTGACAGGGCCGAAAGGGCCAGATTGCAACGCTATATGATGCACAAACGGATTGAGGTTCATCTTCCAAACCTTGCATATCAAGTGCCCTGCCAAACTCAACGCACTATCACGTCATCCCGCCAAATGTCTCAGTCTGGGTCTGATGACCATATATGTACGTGCAGACTCATGATCCATAATAAGGTCATGACAGTCACTGCGGCCGGTTTCTGTTTGGAAAGTGGTGGCCACAGCAAACAGCTTTCATCATGAAGTGAATTACACGGCCAGCAACAAATGAATTATCTAAAATCAAATCACTCAAGAAAGACATAGGGCGGTGTCCAGTGTCCAGGAACTCTTCAACCGTCTCATCTGCTTTGACGGCGTCACTGCATCAGCTTGACGAGGGCCTGGAATCTGGAATGGAGCAACAAAGAAAAATCAGGCAGCACACCACATTGAAGCTGAGCAAAAGAGAGAATAAACTAACAGCAAAACTTCAACTTGAACAGCTCACGAATAAACTTGAATCCAACATAGTTGTATGAATAGCAGCCTGCAACGGTCTGCTGATGCGACCTCTTTTTGCTGCGCAATGAACCTGCCAAGCGAACTGAAACCCTTAATAGACCCTTAATAGGTCAATTCTGCAAAAAGAAAACAAAGAAGCGCTGAAACAGGTCAACCCTGCAGTAAGACAAGACGCAAAATCAAAATTGGAGCCTCCGAGCGTAGAGTCAGAGTTGTCACCGGCCTTCCATCAAACCAAAATCAGTTGGCTACGTCCTGAACAGTGCAGGGGTGTCCCGCCTTCTCAGCGTCCTCTGTGGCGCCTGGCCCCATCAAGCCACCATGATTGCCATCGACAACGACAATCGGACTGGCTTCCTGTCGCAAAATTACTTCAAAGAAAGTCTTGCAGAGAACGCCAAACGAAAACAAAAAGAACAAGGAAAACAAGAAGAACTTGACTCATGACTCAAGAGATGTGACAGCCAGACCTGGCCTTCGAGGGAATGGCAGAGTCGGCAACCGATTGGCTGCAATCAGTGTTACCTTCATCATCCGTAACCCACTCCCATTCATATGTTGGAAAACCGGAGTTTCCACACGTCACCTCATCGTCAGGGCCTTGATTAGAATAAACTGCCCCCCACCACGACTGAACAGGGACTTCAGGGATAGAAATGACTTCCTTCAGTAGCCATTCACCACGAGTCGACGCCATGGTTGCAAAGAGCAAAATGTTCTTAGAACCAATGGAAGAGCAAAAATTCGGGGCATCGGGCAAGTGAATTCAAACGACGAAACTTGACACCTTGAATTTGATATCAGCAAGGAATCATCAAGAAGAAATGTATTTAAGCGAGCCAGGGTCACTGCCACATTGTTGTAGCTCTCAGGGTGTTGCATCCAGCCGACCATCACACACAAAACACTGTGCGCGACATTGTATTCAATCATTTTGCTGAAAATTTCTCCTTGCACATGACTGCAAGAATTTGCAAAGCTAAGTCCGCGCACCGTGGGATCACTATGTTCCCACAAGAACGCAGCCGGAACTCATGGCCAGAGTCACGCTGCTGCAGCAACCATTGGGACACTGGTGGCTTCGGGTGTCTCAAATGGTAGCACTTATGGGCTGAAGCTCGCACCTCCTCGAAGGTCATGAGGTTCATGTTCTGCAGCAGGGCTGCATTGGTTTGATTTGAATTTGAAAGATTCATCAAAAGTTAGCGAGACACCAGTGAAATCATTGGCTCTTAATAACTCCTGGATAATATGGGTGATCACCGAGAGCCTTAAACAGAGAAGCTCCTCTTCCAGTCTTGATGGCCAAAATGAACACGCGGTCCCTCTTGACCTGACATGACCATTTGAAACTCCACAAAGGGTAGTAGAGTGCCAGTGTGTCTTCTGAGACCAGGGCATGCAGGCCGGCCATTTGGCCCGTCACAACAGTCCACATGACCGTAAAGTCTCGTTTCCTAAACTCCTGGCATCCGAGAAAATGGACAGTGACATTTAATGCCATGTAAAAAAAAAACATGCCAACATCTGACCGCAAGGATGTAGTTCCACATAGTACGCAAGTTGGGTTCTGACGACAGCAAGTGCTTGACGTTTTCCAAGATGCAGAAATACCTGCAAGCTCTAAATTGGAACAGCAACTTCACGTTGCAGTTGGAACCAGCAATATAATACACAACGTCACTTGTTTATATTATTAAACTTGAATCAATTCTAAAGCTGCTTCACCTACTATGTTGGAAATTGACCTGCTTCACATTGAAGCAGCTGTGGGCGCACAAGTGGGGATTCTCATCAAGCAAGTCAAAGAAGACCCGCACCAAACACGAACGTCGATCCAGGAGCCCGGTCATTCCACCACTTTTGCTGACACCCTTAGTCCAGACTAGCTTATACTACAGTAATCTAGACAGTGACATGGGAAGCAACAATAACAAGCAGAAACCCCACCAAAACAGAAACAAAACCATGAGTCACAAGACATTAAAATCAAGAATCTTGACATGGAAAGCCACCAACGAGGCCATCGCAATGGGCCAACAAATCTGCAGCTTCCTTCCCAACTGTGACAACATCATCAAATATTCGGCCGGCCGGTAAGTACCCTTCGGCCATACGCTGGTCCAGGACTCTTTGGCAATCGCGGCACTGTTCGACCTTGGCACTTCCATTGAAAAAAACTCGCTTGGCCTTTTGGCAAGATTCTCAGACCAAGACAAAAATACTAAGGTTGCTGCATAACCCAATGCTCTGCACAGCCTGGTCAGGCCATGATAAAGCATGTATAAATGTACTAGCGGGTGGGTGTATGAAATGAATGAATCATTGCACGTCGACATCTTCGTGCCCGACCTGCTCAAACCTAGTTCGAGGCCTCCTACGCCACTGAACAACGACAAGATCTTCAGCTTGGAATCCTGGAGACAACCCAATAATTGCCAGGCCCCACAAATTGCAAAAACTAAAACCTTCCTGCACACTGTGGTGTGGGAATAGCCGGTTGAAGTCACAGCGGCTCACGGAATTGGGCTTGTGGTCGGTCCAGCCCATTGGTAAACCTGAAATCACGTGGCACCGCAAGCAAGAATTCAGCAATGACGAATACAGATGAAATCGCATTGAATTGTGGTGCCATGAAAAGGTTTTATATTGTTTTGACAAGAAACCACTGAGGTGTTCGGCAATTGCTGGGGAAAGAAACTTACCACGCGGCATCCCCAAACGTTTGCACTCAGCGCGGTAGTGGTCCCACCAATATACTTGCGTCGCCAGATCCTGCCACGAGTTCAACTTGTTCTCTGCTTGGGATGGGACTACTTAGTGGCACGGCTTCTTGAAACTGGCCTGCGACCCTCTCTTGGAAAGGTACGCTTGGCATGCCCGGGTGGTCGCGCCAAAAACGCCTACATCCAACACACGCTATGTTGCAGCGCCGGTTGAGCTTGACATGGAAAATTGCTTAAAAAATGTTGGAAACACTCGATGACATGACAGCACTCCAAAACAACGGCACTCACTGCAAGGCCCCGACGGATGCAGCCAAAGTTGTTGCGAATCGCAGGTGAAGTGAGCAGTTTCACTTGCTTGGCTCGAGCGTGTTCCAGTGCCTTTCTACTCCTAGTTGGTACCTCATCATGTGAGGCTGTCAGATTCATTTGCATTTCACAGGACATTCCATCATCACACTGAAAACAATTGAAAAACTAAGGCCCTCAATTCTTGCTCAGGAAAGACAAGTGACTAGTCTCATGTTCAGCGGACCTGCTTGTGGCCAAGCAGATATCGGTTTCATTTCAACGACTGCATCACCACACGTGGCCACACCATGGTTGGGGCATCGCTCTTCCAAAGAGACTTTGCCTTCCTGGCATGCTCGATTTTGGCCAGATTCATCAGATACTCATGTTGCAATCTAACAGCACACAACAAATGTTTCACGTATCAACTCTGCAATACTTTCTGGGAATCACCTTCAAACATCGAAACCAACGGCCGTCAGCAACAGGCGGCTTGTCGTGGCAGCCAGGCCTGACAGACTGAGCCCTTACTACACCAACTGGTGTTAAAAAAATGAATGCCAATATCACATCGTGAAATTCCTTGTCAAATTTTGGGATCCTGGCATTGCAGCAGCAACATCATCGCTCAGCGTTGAAATGCTTCGGACCAAAACGCTGTCAGCAGCAGGCGGCTTGCGGCAGGCAGGCCTGAGTGCTCACTACACAAATGGTTTAGTACCGTTTGGATGCACCATGAGTGAAAAAATCCTTATCAAAATTTGGGACCCTGGCGTTGAGACAGCAACATCATCGCTCAGCGTTGAAATGCTGCGCTTCCGAAAACCAGGCTGCATGCCGCCCATGGCCGCAGTGAGCTAGCAAGCTGCCACTCAAAACAACTCCAAAAAACAGCCGCGGTGACCAACCACAGCAAAAATTCCGGCCACATGACTGCCAGCATCAGAGTGACAGAAATCAATGGACCCTGCCATCGATGGTTTTATCATACTTGTATTTAGTTATTATACCTGGTCCTACTATGTATTAAATAATATATATATATATTTGTAATTAATATATTATTGTACTCGTTTTTCTCTGTTTTTTTCGGCCGGATCAAGTCAATGAGGGTCCCACAATCCCACAATATGCAATTTGCACCATAGTTGTCGTGACATACAAAAAAGATTTCACCACGGCGTTTGGTTCCTGCATGCTTGGGGCAATTATTCCAAAATGATTTTTAAGTTGCTTCCAATTCCCGAAAATCAATGTAGCCAAAAAAACAATCAAGTCACGTCGGCCGGATGCAATGGACGCAGCCGTTACAAGGCTTTTAGCACAAGGTTAAAGACACCAGCTTTACTAAATTAGAACTACTTAA